ATGCTCAGGCAATGCTTCTCCACACGGTGGGCTTCTCCTTTCTTACAGTCCACAACCTATTTTTCTCTCCTTTTGTATTCACATCTATGGAGTGGAAAACTCGGCTGACAGGCTTCATGACCTGGCAACAAATCGACCGGTTTATCTTTTATGCATCGGCCTACACTCTGCAGTATGTCTTGGATTAATCACACTTTAATTACCCTAATCCTGATTTCACCTGTTGCCGTGGTATAACCCTGGAATAATACACATTCTTACTTCTTTTACCACTACCCTGTAAAGCAGTGGAAGCCTGGTTACCCCTTGCCCTCTTCTGCTATTGTCTGCTATCCTTCATTCCTTCTTTACCTTCAAGTACTACATTAGTCCTGAAACCAACTAAGTATTTGTGGCAAGTAGTGTGGTTTGGGTCCCTGCATGTGGAAAGTGTTTCCCATTATTTACTTTCCTCCATCGAAAAATTGGGTCAAAAAGGAAAAGACAGATCTCCAGCAACGATTCATCAAAAAATTTGCAGTCACCGCTGGCTTAGGATATTATTATCACCAGGGCCCCATGGGGGCCTGGCCATTATCATAACACTCTTCTCTTTCATGGCCTCTAGATGTGTATTGTCCTTCCACCAATGGAACTGGCCCTGGAACTATTTGGTGTCAAGGTACCTATGCTTGTAAAGGTATATATAGCTTTGATCAATAGGACTTTTAATCCTTGAAAGTTTTGTGGACCCCAGGAAAATCTGGGGAGGAGGAGACTTATAGTTAGAAGACCTTTATAATCAATATCACAGGGAGACAAGTCAGTTTATATTAAATCTGCCTGTCTTTACCTCCCTCCACCAATTCTCTAAACTCTATACTTTCCAAACAATGGTTCTAGTTGCATCTGCTCCCAAGTATCTGGCCTGATGAGATCGCCAAATTACCACTCTCTATCACCGCAGGAACGTTTGTTAGTGCATTCCATATGGACTCAAGCTGCCTGGGACATAGAGAAGAAGAGAACGATTATAGCTAACTTTGTGTAAGTCTTTAAACCTTTTATATTGGTTGAAGGCTTCCCCTGTTCTTTTCCTATAGTAGACATTCTTCAGTCTTAAAGTTGTTTCTATTTTCTTCGCTTTTTTGTTGTTTGGATGGAGTATCACTCTGTCACCCGGGCTAGGTTGCCTGCGCGTCAGCCAGCCTCACAGCTGGACCTCTAACTCCTTGGGCTTCAAGCTGATCCTCCTGCTAGCAAGCCTCTGATGTAGCTGGGAACTACAGTGTGTAACACCATGCCTGGCTATTTTTTCTATTTTCATTTTTAGTAGGCCAGGTCTCACTCTTGCTCAAGCTGCCGGTCTCAAATTCCTTACCTTCAAGCTATCCTACCGCCTGCTGCCTTCCAGAGTGCTAGGATTACGGGTGGGAGCGCCCACGCCGGACCAGCATCTCTTTAAAGTTTTTACCTTTGAGGCCTCATTTTTCTTGTTGTCTTTTTTTTTTTTTTTTTTTTTTTGAGACAGAGTCTCACTCTGTTGCCTGGACTAAGAGTGCCATGGTTCGAACCTAGCTCACAGCAACCTCATACTCCTGGCCTCAGGCAATCCTCCTGCCCTCAGCCTCGCAAGTAGCTTGGGCATGCGCCACCATGATTTTTTTTTCTCTACATATTAGTTGGCCAATTAATTTCTTTCTATTTATAGTAGAGACGGGATCTCGCTCTTGCTCAGGCTGGTTTTGAACTCCTGACCTCGAGCAATCCTCCCGCCTCAGCCTCCCAGAGTGCTAGGATTACAGGTGTGAGTCACCACCTGTAGCCCAGCCAGTAATGGAAATTTTAAAGATGACTAGAATGCTGAATGGCTTTTAAGGTCCTTGAGTAATGGGAATGCTTATGGACCTTCACCAAGAACATTCCATTAAATCTCTAGTTTAACAAACCTTAGCAAACCCAGCCCATGCACAAAATTTCCCCTCAAGAAACACTGAAATTTGGCTTTTTGACTGGGTACGTACTTAGTTTACGTTTGTTATATATTTTCCTTTCCTCATCTTTTAATTTCTCTTCATCTTCAATTTTGGCATTTTTATGGGATGAAGCGTGTTTCCTGCCACGGAAACCCAATCTATAACATCGCATCTTTAGGAAATACGGGTTGGACTTGAAGACATTTGGCTTGTGAGACCTTAAGGAACTTATTAATTTGTTCAGTCCAATAACACCTAGGACTGGGAGATGTCCTTAGGGGCTTAATAAAAAGTGCTGCTTTTGTGATTTCTCTTATCAGCAAGTTTATCCTAATAGCGCTGTCTATTATTTTAGGGAATAATAGTGTAACAGAGGGTGCTGCCGGCCACCCATATGGCTTTCACTTTCCACTGTGCCCCAGCAGACTTTCAACTGACAGTATTTGGAGCTCTGGTTCCCCTTGTGGGAAGCCTTGTTGCTGTCCTTGTGTGGCCGTCCACAACAGTGAGTAATTCCCCCAACAGCGACCCTTAGTAATGACTCCCAGGAGTTAGTGAATAAATGCCTCCGCCCCCTCACTGCAGATGGGAAGGTTCTGGGCTGTACTTCTCCGTGGGATTCCCTTGCCCACACTGGAAGCGGCTTAATGGCTTTATTGGCTGCCTTTCCTTCCTGTGTCACTTCTCCATCTCTCTATTGGTGTTACCTGAACTTCCCCAAATTAACTACTTTCACTCGCATGGCTTGGCCAGTATTTCTCACACTTTTTTTTTTCTCATGATCACCCCCTTAAGGATCCTTTTTAGACATTTTTCCCCCCCTTTAATGGCCCGCCAGGCCTATAAATCTAGGACCACAGATAAAACTGATTGAGACTGTTTTATAAGCTGGGCTTTATTATTTATTGTGTATGTACCGGTGTTTCTCCCGAAATACAGACCGTACCTAAAAATAAACCCTAGCAGAGATTTCTAAGCACTTGCGGCAATATAAGCCCTACCCCAAAAATAAGACCTAGCGATGGGCGTGGCTACACAGCGTATCTGCACAACCCGTGTATTTTGTTGCGGAGTGGTAAAGAAGACGAGCAGCCCTTCTCATCTGCCCTATGAGAGACTGGGGCCAATGGTTCTAAAGGAAATAGAGTAGCAAGAAATTCGGGATGGAATTTGGGGTTTGGAGAGTTATGATGATGTTCCAGAAGAAGACGACTTAACTATGTTTGAATAAATGTAGATTGTTGTACCGTACTTAAAAAAATAGCACAGCCCCTGAAAATAAGCCCTAGGGTGTCTTCTTGAGGAAAAATAAATATAAGACCCTGGCCTATTTTCGGGGAAACACGGTATCTGTGCTTTATCCATAAAGAGAGTAAGATTTTTTTTGCCAAGGGTCCTTTAGGATCTGCTTCTGGAAGATTCCAAGGCATGACAAATAATATTTTTGAGCACTTACTATGTGCCAGGCAACTTGTTAAAGGCTTTACATGTGCAATCTTATTTAATCCTCCCAACAGCCCTTTTATAAATATGTTTACTCTTTTCATTACAAATAACAGGGACCCAATAAAACTGGCTCAAGCCAAAACCAAATTATTATAAGGGATTAGGGCTTTGATGATTTTCTAATCCTGTCATTTCTTTTACATTTATTAACTGACATTTTTCTGTATGTTGGACCTTTCCTTCATCAGCTGGGGATGAAACACAATTTCTTCTAAAAAAAAAGGCATGATATATGCTAAATTCTTTCCCTTTAATTACCAACCTTCAGCTTAAGGAGTTAGAGCAATAGTCGCCTCTAATGGTAGCAAATGAATTTCTCTCTCTCTCTTCTTCTCTCTCATCACTAATAAATTTGTGGATTTTTTTTTTTAAAAGAGAGCCTCACTATGTTGTCCAGGCTGGATTTAACCTCCTGGGCTGAAGTGATCCTCCTTCTTCAGCCTCCTGAGTAGCTGGGACTATAGGCGTGTGCCACCACACCCAGCTAAGTTCTGACGGAAGTGAAATGTGGAGAGGTTAAGTAACATATTCAAAGCCTGATGCTGCTGTTGAGTTGCAGAACTTGGATTCAAATTCTGCATTTATAACTCCAAAATCCCATTGTCCTCCTACCATACAGCTGCTTCTATTCAATGGCTATGAAGCCACCAGAGCCTGACGCTGAATCGGAGAGAGGAAGATGAGGTTACCGCACAAAGCGGAGCCCCATGGGACTCAGTCCCTGCATCTCAGGAGCCTGCTGCTGGAAGGGTCTGGATGCGAGGTCAACTTGCCGCTTGGTTTTACTCCCTACGCCGGTTCTATAGCTGCTCTCTGGCCACTTAGAGTCTTTATTTGCAATTCTTGGATTCTTGGGGCAGTTCTGAGACTCCTTGTCCTTAGCTTATCACACAGTGAGATAACAGCATATTACTCTCTCTCTCTCTCTTTTTTTTTTTTTTTTACTTGTTTTACAGATGGGGGTGTCTCACTACATTGCCCAGGTTGGTCTTGGACTCCTGGCCTCAAGTGATCCTCCCACGTTAGCCTCCTAAATCGCTGGTACTACAGCGATGCGAGCCTCTGTGTCCAGCTTTGTTACTTTATAGACTCCGGGAAACCAGGAGCCTAAATAGCTGAACCCCATGCAAGCTGTCTTTGAGGAAATGTTAGTCTGAGGTTGGGAAGGGTTGTGCTGATTTTAGGTTTTGGAAGGCAACTCTGTTCTCTAAGAGTTTCTTGTTCACACTGAATTCATCCTGAAGAATCAATGAAAAGCCCTTCAGTTTTCAAAAGATTCAACAGAAAGCTGGTTGTGGGCAGGTGCAGGGAGGGCAGTACGCAGAAAGGTGCCAGGGTCCTGAGCAGTGTCAGGTCAGCATCTCTCTCTACCAGGAGTAGCGACTGGTAGAGAAACTTCTCCCTTCATGGGGCTGCCTCAGCTGAGACTGAGCAGGGAAGTGGACACCAGAGGGGAAAGAAGGTGCAGCTCATCCCTGCAGCTGCTTCTGAGGTTTCCAGAAACTCTGATGCTGGCATCTGGGACTATGGCTACTGAAGCCGTTGCTGTTGGAAAGCCCACTCCTGTGATCTAGGAGACAGGTTCCTGCCTCTTCTCCAGCTTCAAGGAACCACATGCTGGCTCAGCCAAACCCAATCCTCCATTTGTTGGAAAGTTTTTGGAATATCCTTTTGTTCTGTAAAGATAGGGGCTATGCAGACTTCACACTGGGGCTTCTTTGCCCTAGTTATACCCCTGGGGAGAGGAATAGGAAAGGAAGCAAGTTATGGGGCATTGAAAGTAGATGGTGGCAGGGAGTCCTGCATACTCTAAACAGCCATCCCACTGCAAAACAAAAAATGCTAGATAAAATATATTAAACTACCTTTTTAAAAACATCATGGGACTGGAAAGAGAGTAAAAAGATGTAGAGATCACAATAAATCCAGAGAGGTGAGCCAGATCTAAAACTGGCTTTGCCCTGGGCCTGAGGACATTTCTTGAAACTTGGGAACCTTGAGTTCTGTTTTAACAGCACTGGTGAGGAGGGGGTACAAGAGGGGAGACAGAAGACAAAACCTGAGGCTTTCCAAAGAGCAGAGTATAATGAGCACAGCTTCAGTGTAAGAGTCTGCTACGGGCCAAATGTCTGTGTTCCCCCCACTTTCGTGTGTTGAAATCCTAACCCCCAAGTTGATGGTTTTAGGAGGTGGGGCCTTTGGGAGGTGATTAGGTCATGAAGGTGGAGCCCTGAGAATGGAACTAGTGACCTTATATAAAAGAGGCCTGAGAGAGCTCCTGTGTCCTTTCCACCATGTGAGTTCACAGAGAGAAGGCATCATATATGAACCAGGAAGCAGATCCTACCAGACACAAAATCTGCCAGCACCTGGATCTTGGACTTCCTGCCCTCTAGAACGGTTAGAAATAAAGTTCTGTTGTTTTTTGAGCTGCCCAGCTTATGTATTTTGCTATATCTGCTGGAACTGCCCAAGACAGAGTAAAATACAAATAAACTTCATAGAAAACAGCAAGAAAAATTACTTGTCTTAATCAAAGTGCTGGTTAAGGATGATAAAAATCTTCCCTGAGAATTCATAAGAACGAGTATATGCTAATATAAGTTTAGAACCGGAATTCATATTACCTTCGGATCTTAAAAACCTCAAGTCAAGGCCGGGCGCGGTGGCTCACGCCTGTAATCCTAGCACTCTGGGAGGCCGAGGCGGGCAGATTGCTCAAGGTCGGGAGTTCGAAACCAGCCTGAGCGAGACCCTGTCTCTATATAAATACAAAAATTAATTGGCCAAAACTAATATATAACTCACACAACCAACATTCAGCCACAGACATGGTGGTGCATGCCTGTAGTCCCAGCTACTAGGGAGGCTGAGGCAGAGGGATCGCTTGAGCCCAAGGAGTTGGAGGTTGCTGCCACGGGACTCACTCTAGCCTGGGCAACAAAGCAAGACTGTCTGTTAAAAAAAAAAAAAAAAGAATTTATTTAAAAGTAATCCTAGTTAATAGAGACTGCATGCTTTTGGCATAAACATATGCAAATCTATGGATGAATAACTCAGATCTCAAAGAATTCCTACAGCTAAGTTTCCATGGAATATGACTTTATAAATTAATGAAAAAAATCACAAAATAGATGAAGAATCAAGATGCGATAGTGAGAGCTAGCAGAAATAATAGAGAGTAGAATCAGACCTTCAAAGACTTCAACTATTTTAATAATTTGAATTTTAATACAAAATGAACTTTTTGTGAACTTTAATGAACTTTAATACAAAATGAACAAAATGAACTAATATGCTTAACAAAATTTAAAAAGAGATTGAAAATACAAATAAAGAGGCATAGGCCATGAAAATGACTAAATTGTTTTGGAAAACAACCAAAGAGAACGTCTAGAAATGAAAGTGTGTCTAACGGACATAGAGAATGCAGTGATAAGATCACACTATATTTGATCAGAGTTTCAGAACTATAGACCTGCACTGTCCAATACAGTAGTCACTACCCATATGTGACTATTGAGCACTTGAAATGGACTAGTCTGAATCGAGGTGTGCCATAAGTGTAAAATACACAACAGCTTTTGAAGACTTGCTATGAAAAAAATGTAAAATAGTGTATTAATTTTTTGTTGTTGTTTTTTTGAGACAGAGTCTCACTCTTTGCCCAGGGTAGAGTGCCGTGGTGTCAGCCTAGCTCACAGTAACCTCAAACTCCTGGGCTCAAGCAATCCCTCTGCCTCAGCCTCCCGAGTAGCTGGGACTACAGGCATGCACCACCATGCCCGGCTAATTTTTTCTCTATATATTTTTAGTTGGCCAATTAATTTCTATTTATAGTAGAGATGGGATCTCGCTCTTGCTCAGGCTGGTTTCAAACTCCTGACCTTGAGCGATCCACCCACCTCAGCCTCCCAGAATGCTAGGACTACAGGCATGGGCCACCGTGCCCAGCCCATATTAATGTTTTTATTGACATGCTGAAATGATAATATTTTTATATGTTATTTTTTTTTCTGAGACAGAGTCTCATTCTGTTGCTCCAGCTAGAGTGCCATAGCATCAGCCTGGCTCACAGCAACCTCAAACTCTTGGGCTCAAGCGATCCTCCTGCCTCAGCCTCCTGAGTAGCTGGGGCTACAGGTGCATGCCACCATGCCCGGCTAATTTTTTTAATATATATTTTTAGTTGGCCAATTAATTTCTTTCTATTTTTAGTGGAGACAGGGTCTTGCTCTTGCTTAGGCTGGTTTCAAACTCCTGACCTTGAGTGATCCGCTCACCTCATCCTCCCAGAATGCTAGGACTACAGGCGTGAGCCACCGTGCCCGACCTGTAAATAAAGTTTTATTGGGACATGGCCCAGCCTGTAAATAAAATTTTATTGGAACACGACCATGTTCATTTGTTTACATATTGTGTATGGCTGCTTTCACATTACAATGTCAGAGTTGAGTATTTGCAACAAAGATTGTATAATCTCAAAACCTAAAGCAGTTACCCTCTGGCCCTTTACAGAAAAAGTTAGCTAATCATAGAGAAAGTGATTCTCAACTGATAATGATTTTGTCCCCCTGGGGATATTTGGCAATGTCTGGAGATATTTTTGGTTCTCAGAATTGGGAAGTGGTGTTGGATTCTACTGGTAATACTGAGTAGAAACCAGGTATACTGCTAAACAGCCTACAATATACCAGATAGGCCATATAACAAAGAATTTTCTGGCCCAAATGATAAGTCAGATTACATACAAAGAGATGGTAATTAGACTGACAACTAACATCTCTATGATGACAATGGAAGCTAGAAAACAATGGAATACTACCGTGTTTCCCCGAAAATAAGACAGTCTTATATTTATTTGTCCTCAAGAAGACACCCTAGGGCTTATTTTCAGGGGATGTGTTATTTTCCCCTCAAAGCCTCAGCTTGGGGAGCCGACCTTGTTGGTGGAGCTGCCCGCACCTTTCTGGTCACCTCTGGGATAGTAGCTGTCATGATGGGGCAGATGAGAAGGGCTGCTCGTCTTCTTTACCACTCCATGACGAAATGCATGGGTTGTGCAGATACGCTGCGTAGCCATGCCCATCATTAGGTCTTATTTTCAGGGTAGGGCTTATATTGATTGCCCAAATGCTTAGAAATCCTGCTAGGGCTTATTTTATGGGTAGGTGTTATTTTCGGGGAAACATGGTAGTATTGTACACCTTACAAAAACTAAAGTTCAAAATAAAGGATGATGTAAAGATATTTTCAGACATAAATGAAAACATAACAGTTTTACACTAATACTAAGATAATTCTAAATAATGTACATTACAGCCAGGTGCTGTGGTTCATGTCTGTAATCCTCACATTCTGGAAGGTCCTGGTGGGAGGATTGCTTGAGCCCAGGAACTTGAGACCAGCCTGAGAAAGAGTGAGACTCCATCTCTCCAAAAAATAAAAAAATTAGTCAGACATTGTGGCACAAGTCTGTAGTCCCAGGCTGGGGTAGGAGGATAAGTTGAGCCTAGGAATTTGAGGTTGCAGTGAGTTATGATGATGCCACTGCACTCTAGCCCAGGTGACAGAGTGAGACCCTGTCTCAAAACAAAAAACAAACAACAACAACAACAAACAATGTACTTCAGAAGGAAAATAATCTTTGGGAAGGAGAGACATAAAGGAAGAAATAGTGAGTGGAGACATTGATAAATATATGTTACATCTAAACAAATATTGACTTATAGAAAAATATTAATGATATCTAATTTTGATGCGTTTAAAGAAACACCATAGAACTAAAATACTGGATAATCATAGCATATAAATCTTCAAGATGGTGATTGGAATTAAAGTGTTATAAGGCTATTATTCTGCAGGAAGGAAAATATACTTATTAAATTTAGACTTTATTAAATATACATTTAAAAATTCCCAGGTCAAGGCAATGGCCAACCTTGAAAAAGAAATTTAAGAGACATTCCTAAGGCCAGGCATGGTGGTGCACACCTGCAATCCTAGCACTTTGCAAGGGCAAGGCAGGGGGATCACTTGAGCACAGGAGTTTGAGGTTGCAGTGAGATATGATGATGCCACTGCACTCCAGCCTGGGTGACAGAGCAAGAGTCTATAAAAAAACCTCCAATCCCAAGATTCATGACTCCTTCCTCTGCAGTCCACTTTTCTCTGCATGTTCATCATCATACGCTGCCTGGATTCATACTTGAAAGGTTTGGCCAGGGTCGTTTCTAATGTGTCTGTCCTTTCTCTTTGCCTGTCTGGATAATTTAACGTCCTGAGGGATGCTAGCCCAAGAGAGGCGAAATCCCCTTTTCCTGCCATTGAAGCCATTCTATTCCTGGCCACCAGGGGGCACCCACGGACTTGCTATGGACTCGGCGGGGCCCTTCATGGTCCACAGTCTCAGAGTCACTTGAGGAGAGAGAGGTGCCTGACTAATCGGGTTATAGCTATTTTTAAATTTTTGTATCTGGTTTCTGCATCGAATCTTTCTTCCTTTCTTCTCTCTGATTTTCTCTTGTCGGCATGTGTGTTTCTCAGAGGTTCTCTGAGACAGCATTGAGTCATCCACATCCTGTTTCTCCCAGGGCAGTTGGTTTCCGGTTTTTGTGCAGGAGGTAAGAGTCTCATCATGCCTCTGCTTGTCTGAATATCATTTTTTGGAAAAATAAAAGCAAAACAAAAACAAAACAAAACAACTCCAGAGACTGCAGTACGTTCTTTCCAATGTCTCTGATGGTGAAGAGTTGAAATCCTTTGATGATTCAAAGGTATTAGAAGCCAAGGCTTGGCTAGCAGAAGAGTGATCACCCTGGGTAATACTGTTTTTGACCCAAAAATGTGTGACAAAAATATAACAAGACTGCTTTTTCCTTGTGTGGCTCAGAACCTGGCTTTGGAGATCACTTTTTTTTTTTCCTATACAGAGTCTCATTCTGTTGCCCGGGCTAGAGTGCCGTGGCATCAGCGTAGCTGACAGCAACCTCAAACTCCTGAGCTCAAGCAATCCTCCTGCCTCAGCCTCCCGAGTAGCTGGGACTACAGGTGTGCGCTACCATGCCCGGCTAATTTTTTCTATATATTTTTAGTTGGTCAATTAATTTCTTTCTATTTTTAGTAGAGACGGGGTCTTACCCTTGCTCAGGCTGGTCTCGAACTCCTGAGCTCAAATGATCCAGGATTACAGGCGTGAACCACCACGCCTGGCCCGGAGATCACTTTCAACTGGAACCCCAAGCTGAGCGATGGAACACATGCTTTGTTTTCCGAGGTGATTGTGCCGGATGGAAAACATTCATGTCTCACTGCTTTGCTCTCATACCTTCTCTACCTGTGGAGAAACACTCCTTTGGTTTTACTTGGTGACTTGGAGACCTTCAAGAGAAGAGTGTGGGTAGTGAATCTAGTGGAATCAATGCACAAAAGGGAAGCAAGGAGATTCCAGGTTTAAGATTTGACCCACTTACCACCTTGAGTTCATGGACCTCTTGTTTTAATCATGAAAGCTTTTTTGGTGTTAGGTGAACAGGAATTTGAGGACAACATTGGTTTGTTCCTAAAACCCCGTGTTCTTATGCACAGGCTGTTCTGAGAAGTGGAATTACTGGATCATTGGGGATTTGCATTTAAAATGTTAATAGTGGTAGCTAAATTACCTTTCCAAAATGCTGTAAAAATGGGAGTTGTGGTAGTCCCAGCTACTCGAGAGGCTGAGGCAGGAGGATCACCTGAGCCCAGGAGTTTGAAGTTTCAGTGAGCTATGATGGCGCCTCTGCATTCTAGCCAGGGTGACAGAGCAAGATTCTGTCTCAAAGAAAGAAAGAAAAAGAAAACAAACAACCCTATTTAAAAAAAAAATTGAGGAAAAGTGCTGAACTGACATTTCACCAAAGAAGATACACAGATGGTAAATAAGCATATGAAAAGATGCTCAATATCAGATGTCATTATGGAATTGCAAATTAAAATGACAATGAGATACCACTATGCAAGTAATAGAATGGCTAAAATCCAAAACATTGACAATATCAAATGTTGGCAAGGACATGAAACAACAGGAACTGTCATTCATTGCTGGTGGGAATGCAAATTGTACGTCTACTTTGGAAGACAGTTTGGCAGTTTTTTACGAAGCTAAATATAGTCTCACTCTATGGATCCAGCCACTGCTCTCCTAGGTATTTACCCGAATGAGCTGCAAATAAAACACACAAAATCTGCACATGCACGTTTATAGAAGTTTTATTCATAATTTCCAAAAATTGGAAGCAACCAAGATATTCTTTAATAGATGAATGGATAAACAAACCATGGTATATCCATATAATGGAATATTATTTGTTGATAAGTAGAAATGAGCTATTGAGCCATGAAAAGACATGGAGGATCATTAAATGCATATATTGCTAAGGGAAAGAAGCCAGTCTGAAAAGGCTACATACCGTATGATTCCAACTGTATGATGATATTCTGGAAAAGGCAAAGTATAGAGATGGTGGTTGCCTAAGGTTGGGGAGGAAAGGAAGGAGGAATGTGTAGGCGGAACACAGGGAATAATTTGAGCAGTGACACTACTCTGTGTGATACAATAATAGCAGATACATGACCTTATGCATTTGGCAAAAGCGATGGAACTGTGCAACACAAAGACTGAACCCTAATGTAGACAGTGGACTTTAGTTAATAATAATGCATCAATATTGGTTCATTAATTGTAACAAATGTTTCATAATAATGCAAGTATGAATTATAGGGGAAACTGGCTGGGGGAAGAGGAGTATATGGGAACTCTCTGTAGTTTTTTTTAAATAAGGAGTATTTTGAATTAATCTGTAGTTTTTGTTCAATTTTTTTTACAAACCTAAAACTGCTCTAAGAAATAGTCCATTAATTAAAAATAACAAAATTAAAAATATACAGACTCATCAAGAGTGTACAGCTCCATTTTCAGTACCTTTGTTTATACTCTTTGGTGACTGAACTTTGACAGATGTTCTATCTGGTTGATCAAGTTTGGTCTTTTATTGTTTTAATTTGCATTTCCCTGCATACTACTCAGGTTGATGATCTTTTCCAGATTGTTGGACTTTCTAAGTTTCCTTTTTATGAATCGCCTGTTCCTGTCCTTCATCTGTTTTCCCAGTTGGTTGTTGATCTTTGGATTGTGAATTTGTGGGAGCTTAAAAATGTTTGCATATTCATTCTTTGTTTTACGTGTTGCAAGTGTTTTCTCACAATCTGTCACTTAAATAACACTTTCTTTTGTCCCACAGAAAGTTTTAAGTTTCGAAGGAGACTGGCCTGGAAATGAGCTTCTGGGGAGATGTGGGATCTGAGCAGACCTCCAGACTAAGCCCAGTCTTGCCCTTTTTGCTCCCGATTCTCCAAGCCGAACCCGGAGCTCTCTGTTCCCGAGTGTGCGTGGAGGCTGCCTTCCGCCATGTTGCGGGGCTGGCCTGGCTTTATCTAATGGGATGAACCTGGCTAAAGAGATTAGCGAAACGTCTTGGGATCCCACTTTTAATCTGCAGCTCTCAGGCTGTCCCTTCTTGGCTGGGAAGGGAGCTGCAAGAAACAACGCCCAGGACCAGCCCCTGCACAAGCTGCGACTTGGAGGCCCCTGCCGCTGCTACTGAGTTAACGGGGGTCCCAGGCTAGGGGGGCTCGACATGGGCAGCCCCCGCAGCAGCTCCCTGCAGCTTGGCCCCTCTGCACCCTTCCCAAGGCCCTGAGTGGTCCGCCTGTGAGCTCCTTAAGGTTGGGAGTGGGAGCTGTGCTGTGGGAGGCTGCCCGGACAACGCTCGGCAAGCATGGCGCTGCTGAAAGTCAAGTTCGACCAGAAGAAGCGGGTCAAGTTGGCCCAAGGGCTCTGGCTCATGAACTGGGTCTCCGTGTTGGCTGGCATCATCATCTTCAGCCTCGGGCTGTTCCTGAAGATTGAACTGCGGAAGAGGAGCGATGTGATGAATAATTCGGAGAGCCATTTTGTGCCCAACTCCTTGATAGGGGTGGGGGTGCTGTCCTGTGTCTTCAACTCTCTGGCTGGCAAGATCTGCTACGATTCCCTGGACCCAGCCAAGTACGCCAAGTGGAAGCCCTGGCTGAAGCCGTACCTGGCCATCTGTGTTTCCTTCAACATCGTCCTCTTCCTTGTGGCCCTCTGCTGCTTCCTGATGCGGGGCTCGCTGGAGAGCACCCTGGCCTACGGGCTCAAGAACGGAATGAAGTACTACCGCGACACGGACACCCCCGGCAGGTGTTTCATGAAGAAGACCATCGACATGCTGCAGATCGAGTTCAAATGCTGCGGCAACAACGGCTTTCGGGACTGGTTTGAGATTCAGTGGATCAGCAACCGCTACCTGGACTTTTCCTCCAAAGAAGTCAAAGAGTGAGTGGCCTCCAGCCCCAGGGTCAGGGCTATATGGGGACACTGAGGCCCAGGCCTCTGTCACCCTCCACCCCACCCCACCCCACCAGTGCCTTTCCTCCCCATTGAGTATACGGCTTATTAGTACTACGGATGTGAGCGTGTATTAGGTTAAACCGTATGAAATTGCCAATATTCTAACTGCTTTGACCCATAAAATGGCAACTTCATATGGTTCAACGTGATGTTGGCTAAGGTAGGAGGAAGGTGTCGCGTTAGATGAGCTGCTTGGATAGGAGTCCCTAGGCAAGCAGCCTTGGCAGGAACGCGTGTAGGCTTTATACAAGAGGGACGGGCCGTTCTTAGATCACATGGGCTGAAACGGTCCTTGGCTCCCTGTCTCATTCACTCAAAGGAGGTTATTCTGTCCCAGAAGTTTAAACTTCCTGGTTAGTTCCGAGGTTTTCCAAACGTTCTAGTCTGAGCATCTACTCCCGAGGTGTTTGTCCTTGGGTATGGGGGAAAGAACAGAGAGGGAGTCTCTCTGTCAGGAGACCTCGGCTGGCTGTCGTGCTGGCTCTGTTGTTAATTGGCTTGCGACCTTGGGGAAGTGACTCGCCACCCCGGGCCTTCGCTTTGCCTGTCTTCTAAATGGAGGCACTGGGAATGGTCGTCTTTCGAGCTCGCCTCCTAGCTCTGTCTGGTGCCTTGCACACAGCAGGTGCTCATTAAAGGCCTAGTGATGTTTACTTCTGAAATCATGATAGTGCCACATGATAAAGTATTTCTTTTTTTTTTTTTTTTAAGCAGAGCATTCCACACTGATATAAAGTATTTCTAAAATGTTCTTGGCGTGTGTAAAAATAAAATCCTGCGATGGGCTGTAGGGAGATGTTGGTCAGAACCTCAATCTTCGTGTTAGAGACAACGGCCTGCGTGCTGATTCTAGAAGGCTGCCCTTCCCAGCAGAGTGGGTCGTGAGTGGTTTTCCAGGGAAAGGGCAGCCTGCCTTGATCCGGCAGCCCTCCCTCACCTTTTCTCTCTGTGTTACTCTGCCCTGCCCTGGCTGAGGTTAGGGGTTCACTTGTTCCTCTGAGTAAGGCTGGTAAGCGCAAAGGGGGACTTGAACTCAGGGTGTTGGCACCAGGAGCAGGACGTGCCTGAAGCCCAGACAACATTAATGAACCCCAGACGGCTGTCTTAGCCACCCCGCAGATGGGAGGGAAGTCAGAGTGAAGGTCACTGCCGGGGACCTTATCTCCTCTGTGCACGGAGATTACTGCTACAAATCCCCAGTCGGGGGGAGGATTGTACCTGGCTCTGCCCTTCCTAGACGATGGGTCTGCACGGATAGCACAAGGTGGCATGATTTGTATAAGCTGTGCCAGGAGGGCCTGAAGCCAGAGGGACAAGCAGAATTCCTTGGGGGCGAGAGAGGCCAGTGGTAGAACCAGCCCTTGTGAACTGCTCAGAGGGGCTTTCCACCTTTTCATCTGTTATTTCCTTGATTATCTTCTGCATGGAGTCAGCCCTTAGAGAGACGCTTACAAATCTGTCTGTAACTTCAAATCCCCTTTTGTCCCAGAGTAGAGAAATTATCCAGGTCACTCTACTTCCAGTGGTCAGTGGATCCAAACTTTCAGGCAAATATTTAGCTTAATCCAAACTCTCCAGCTGGGCACAGTGGTGCACACCTGTAGTCCCAGATACTTTGGGAGGCTGAGGCAGGAGGATTGCTTGAGGCCAGGAGTTTGAGTCCAGCCTGGGCAAAATAGCGAGACCCCATCTCTAAAAATAAAAAATTAAAGAATACAGTGACAATATCAAGAGAAACAAAAACAAGGAGAGAAATTCAAACCAGATTCTCATCCACAACTTATCAATGGCTTTAATTTTTCTACATTTCAGTCTAGTCTTGTTAACACTTATATAACCTAGTGTAACCACAGCATAAATACAATTTAGTGTTCCCTTTCGTAATCTGAGAGTAAAACATTTGGACAATGTTCAAAACGATCATGTTTAATGATTGCATAATATTCCACTGAATGAATGTACACCCTTAGGTGGACATTTAGTTTGTTCTTAACTCTACCATCAGTAATGCTGGAATGGGAATCTCTGAGCCCTTCCCTTCTCTCTAGCTTGTGTCTTATGTCCCTTAGGCTAAATTTCCGGGGAAAAAAATGTGTCTGTTGGCATTAACTTTCCACAAAGCTGGTCTTAAGAGACAATGATAGAATTGAAATGCCTTTCTCCCTTTCAAAGCCTCTAGTGGCCTCACAGCGTAGTGGTGTTGCCTGTGCTTGCAAGAGGACAGGCTGATGGCATCACTTTGCCCAGAGAAGGTCACAATATCATTTCCCACTGCCCTATAAATTAATGGGCAGTGAACGATGCCCGTCCGGGAAGCAGGTCTTTGGGGGTTGGGACCACGAGTTCCATCCTCATTTTCTAGGGGGCCCCAAGGTTGAGGGGCACACCTGGGGGGCACTGGGGAGCCCAGCCCCTCCTCTCCGGGGCTGGACTGGAGGTGCTGGAAGGTGAGGACCTAACTTGCTCTAGCCTAGTCCAGCAAGCTGTGCGTGGCGCAGAATGGAAAGCACTGCCCCAGGGACGGAGCCTGCGGAAGTGACCGGAAATCACGGGCACCGCACACTGCCCAGTCTGTGTTCAGTTTTCTCCGATTGTCTCAGAATGTCTTTTATAGTTGACTGTTTAAAAGAGGATTCAAACCAAATGCATGCTTTGTGTTTGGTGGTTTGATATCCTTTGTCTCTCTTACTTACTCTCTTACGCTTGTTTTGTGCTGTGTGTACGTTGGAGAAACTGGGCCGTTTGTCCGGTAGAATTTCCCACGTTCTGAAGTTGGGCGATCACAGCCAATTGTGTCATCTAACTTGTTCTTCTGTCCCCTGTATTTCCTGGTAAACCAGTGGTCAGGGCTGAGGTGTGGTTGGATCAGGCTCAGTTTTGGCAAGAATACTTTGTACAAAGCTGCTTTGTACATCTCATTGCATTTTTTGAGGAACATGAGGTCTTTCGCCAGTTTATAAGAATTCCTTTAAAATTCTCCCCTGTTTTCAGGATGAGCAAAGGTGCAGCGTCCTGGGGTGAAAGGCAGAGCCTGGGAGAGCTCAGAGGCCTTGGCCCCAGGAACTGCCAGCCAGGTGGGCCTAGCCTGGGGGCCTCAGTCTGAGGGATAAGCTGGCACCAAGCTCTCCCACTCCACCATTCTTTCCAAGGAACCCACGGGCTATAGGTACCTGCTTGCTCTTCCTCAACAACCTGTAGATGTCTCAAGAAGACCAGATCTTGGCTAGAGGGCTGTCTCCTCCCTCAGACTGGGCTCCCCGAGGACAGGGCTGTGTCTCTCCTCAGACTGGGCTCCCTGAGGACAGGGCCCTGTCTCCCCTCAGACTGGGTTCCCCGAGGACAGGGTCGTGCCTCCCCTCAGACTGGGGCTCCCCGAGGACAGGGCCGTGTCTCCCCTCAGACTGGGGCTCCCCGAGGACAGGGCCGTGTCTCCCCTCAGACTGGGTTCTCCGAGGACAGGGCCGTGTCTCCCCTCAGACTGGGTTCCCTGAGGACAGGGCCGTGTCTCCCCTCAGACTGGGGCTCCCTGAGGACAGGCCATGTCTCCCCTCAGACTGGGGCTCCCTGAGGACAAAGCCGTGTCTCCCCTCAGACTGGGGCTCCTCGAGGACAGGGCCCTCAGACTAGGGCTCCCCGAGGACGGGGCCATGTGTCCTCTCAGACTGGGCTCCCTAAGGACAGGGCCGTGTCTCCTCCTCATGTCCCTCCCTCACCACCTACAGTACCTTATATCCAGTGACTACTTGTCTTAGTCCATTTTGGGCTGCTCTAACAGAACAGCTGAGATGGATAACTTATAAAAAATAGAGATTTACTTCTGACAGTTCTGGAGGCTGGGAAGTCCAAGGTTGAGGGGCCTGTGTTGGTCAATGGCCTTCCTGCTGTGTCATCCGTGGTGGGGGGCAGAGGCAAGAGAGGCCAGGGCTGGGGATGGCGGCTGAAACCATCCTGTCCATCAGGAGTCCACTCCTGAGATAACGGGCTGAGCCCACCCTTGAGCGCAGAGCCCTCATGACCTAACCACCTATGAAAGGCCTCTCCTCTCAGCACTGTTGCAGCGGCGATTAAATTTCTAACACACGATATCTGAATCTATACTATGGTTTGAATCTAACACATTCAAACCACAGCACTACTCAAAAAAAGAAATCTTAAATACTAAGCACTTGCCATCTACCAGGTGCTCTGTGTGTATTATCCCATTTAGTCCCCACTACACGCTCGTCGGGTATTTAAATTGTCATTTCCCAGATGAGAACACTGAGGCTCAGAGAGGTCAAGGCGGCTGCCAGCTTTCAAGGGTATCACTCTGCCATCTGGGTGGGGTTGACTCCTTCCCAGCTCTGCTCTCGCCTCCTCCTCCTACCCCTGCTCATTTCCATACGGTTTCCCTACTGGTTTATTGATTCGCCTACTAAATTATGTTGGCTCTTCCAGAAAAAACTCTGACCTGATGATTTTCCCAGGGTCTATGTGGCCTTGCTCTGGGAGGGTGGCCGGGAACGTAGGCCTTGTCTTAATCAAGACCCTTTCAAGCCCTGGCAGAGAGAAATTTGCAACCTGGGAAACATGTGGATATAAATAGCCGGCTCACCACCTAAGACGCTCTCCCCGGCCTGGCTTTGTCTTAAGAGGGTGAGGGGCCTTAATCTGTGCCCGGAATGAGGGCAATGAGGGCAAGCACTGAGTAGACATGATGGTGTTGGGGCGGGAGAGGGCTGGTTCCAGAGGTGTGAGACCCCAGGAGGCCCCAGGCTGGGGCCCAGGCAAAAGTCCCAGCCTCCACCAAGCTTGGCCTGCCCCCAGTGCTGACCCGGATCCTGCCCTGAGAAGTCCCAGTCTGAGGTCCTGTGCAGCCCAGCAGGGTGACTTGTCCGCTGGGGGTCAGGGAGGCAGGGCAGGGCAGGGCAGCAGCTCAGGGACTCTGTGGCCTCAGCCCGCACAGGGGCCTGCCCTCACATCACAGATGTTAGAGTGTGGAGGGATGCCTGGGGGGCGGAGCAGAAGGATTGGTGACAGGAAAGGGCTCCTGGACAGGGACGAGGAGAGGGAACTCACCCTTTTCCAGGAAGTTTAACTATAAAAGCCAACGGTCGGGGGGGAGAAGAGAGGCCCGGGAAACCTTGAAGACGGGACAAGTGGGCGCTGCTGTGGGGCTCCTCAACTTCCTCCTGCACGGCTTTGGGTGTGACCTGCCCTGCTCTGGGCCCCGCTTTCTCCTCTGTGGGAGGAGCCGACATTTTCTGAGGGCCTACTGTGCATCAAGCCCGCATCTAACGTGTTGCTCGTCTCCTTCATCCACCCCACAGCCCCGGGACGCGGAAGGGACGGCTCCCACCTCACGCGGGGCCAGGGAGGCTGAGCCCCACAGCTCTCGGGGTTGGGACTCAGCGTGTGCTCTCTGCCACCCACCTCCCCACGGGGACACTGGGGCTGGCTCGGAGGGAATATTGTGCTGGGGAGAAGGTCAGGGACAGCCCAAAGGTCAGGAAGGGGGACAACCAGCGTTTGAGTTTGGGGACGAGGGAAGCTGGGGTTGGTGGGGGGTGGGAGGTCTGCTCAGTTGTGCCCAAGGCTGCGGCCCCTCTAGAGGGGAGTGGGAGCCCCATGCTGAGGCCCCCCAACACCTCCCGCCCCACCCAGGACACCCTCAGCTGACACTGAGCCAGGGCCCGTGGGGGGAGAGCTGAGCATGCCAGTTTCCGCACTCCCCAGGCATGTGGCTCTGGTGGGGACGGGCGTGGTGGGTGGTGTCAGCCACAAGTGTCTCCCGGCACCTGTCTGGTGTGGCCAGAGAGCTCCGCTCTGGGCCTGCCACCAAGAGTGTCCCACACGGTCCCGCCCTCAGGGAGCCCACAGCTGCTTCGCCACACAGCGACTGCTGCCCTGAGACAGGACGTCTTGTGGTTGGTTCCGACTTCACAACCCGATGTCGGCTCCCGTAGCACTCAGCTCTTGCTCCGCCACCCGCCCGGCAAGGCGGCCTTAGTCCACGAGCTCACACCCACTGCACACCTACTATGTGCCGGCAGGCACTCTTCCAGCGTTTTCACATGTATCATTCCTTACAAGCCTCATGGCGACTCTGCGTCGCATATGAATAATGAAGCAGAAGCAGGGAGGGGGCAGGAGCACGTCCAGAGGGAGGGAGCGGGCGTGTGGCTGAGCTGGGAGTCAAACCTGGGTCCTTGCCCGCCCGCTGGGGCCTGGCCACACCGCCCGCCCGTGCCAGCCAGGGCCGCCTGTCCTCTGGCCTTCCGAAAGCCTTCGTTATAATGGACGGAAATCAGCACAGTTCATAAGAAAGGAAGCACAAGTGGAAATGGCTCCTAAATATATGAAAACACGCTCCGCTCCACTGAGAGAGAGAGAGAAAAATGAAAATTAAAACAACCCAAGAGGCTACTTTTCATCTGTCAGGTTGGCAGAGATCAAAAGTCTGGCGTGAGCGGGTGTGGCTGCGGGGGATGGGCTCTAGGGAGCATGGCCCGTGGGGGGCTGACTGTGGGGCCCCCAGGGGAGAGACACGGCAGGGATCTGGCCGGATCACCCTTCAACGCAGGGATCCCTTTTGTTTACCTTCTAGATACATTCACAATGTGCAAAGTGACCAATGCCCACATCTGTATTAATAGGAAACTCAGAAAAACCCAAACTTCCCTCAGGAGGGAACTGGCACGTACCCAAGGGGCCATCCACACAATGGAAACACCATGTCATGCATTAAAAAAAAAAAAAAATCCAGGACGCTCTCCACTGACAGGCGTGAAAAGATCTCTAAGATGTAGCCTAAGGGAAAAAAGAAAGGCTCAAGACAGTGTCTATATAATGTTACTATTTGGATTTTTAAAAAACAGAAAAAAATTTGAAATTTTGCAGAATGTGTTTGCCTGTCCAAGCCTGAATCCTCTCTGGAAGGACAGGTAGAGCTGGCCACACTGGTGGGACTGGAGGCCAAGAGATGAGGAGTGGGAGACTTGCTGTATTGTTTTTCTTTATTTTATTTTATTTTTTTTTGTTTTTGTTTTTAAGACTACTGTGGTGCTCAAAGAGACTTGCTGTATTAAAGAGATTTTATTTAGAAGCTAAACATGGACATCTTTTTTTCAGTCTAATTATTTCAATGAACCGCATTATTATGAAAATAATTTCTATTGTAAACAATTGCATGCTTTCTATTCTTGTGTTGTAAAGTCTGCTATTATGTAATGCATTGTCTGTGTGCTACTGTTTGCTCAAGATGCCAAGCACACAGTCAAGTCACCGATCCTAAGCGTGTGGCTCCGTGAATTTTGACACATAGACACCTGGGTAGCCACACTCGAGTCAGGCAGAACATGCCCAGCCTGCTTCTGGGGGCAGGTGAGACTTTTCACCTACAAAGATCCCTTTTGAATTCTGGACTTGCGTGAAGATACGGTGTGTTCTAAACAAACACACGCATAAATAGGGAAACGCAAAAGTCCGGCAGGGAGCCCTGTCAGCCTGGAGAGTGGAGCTGAGCTTGCAGCCAAGTCCCTCCCCCCTCCCGGCTGGGGTGGAGTTTCCTGGGGGCCAGGACTGTGCCTGCCTCGGGTCTCCAACCTCGGCCTCTGCACAGGCCCTGGGAACATCTGGCTGGAGGGGGCCTTGGTCACCAGTGACCCGTAAGGGAGAGATGAGGTTGGTGAGGGAGTTGGAGCTAGTCTGATGGCCACGCACGGCAGCCAGAACCTCGTCCATTGGACATGGCCTGTCCGGCTGCTCTTCCAACCAGCCTGGAATGGCCCCAAGGAATTGCTGCAGGCTGGGGCAGCAATGGCTGGGTGACTTCCTGTATTCCCTCTTGGATACTATCTGCCTCAACCCTCTAGGACGGAAGCTCCGGGAAGGCAGGGCATTTGTTCACTACACTACTCTATCTTCAGTGCCTAGCACGGTGGCTGGCGCACAGCCGGTTGTACAGCAAATATTTATTGAGCGAGCAAGGGCATGAATGAAGAGTCTGGGCTTGCAAAGGCTGGGGGTGGGAGGAACTGGTGCCTGGTGAGAAGCCCGCCTCCAGCTGTCTGTTTCTCCTCCAGTCGCATCAAGAGCAACGTGGATGGGCGGTACCTGGTGGACGGCGTCCCTTTCAGCTGCTGCAACCCCAGCTCGCCGCGGCCCTGCATCCAGTACCAGCTCACCAACAACTCGGCACACTACAGCTACGACCACCAGACGGAGGAGCTCAACCTGTGGGTGCGCGGCTGCAGGGCCGCCCTGCTGAGCTACTACAGCAGCCTCATGAACTCCATGGGCGTCATCACGCTCCTTGTGTGGCTCTTGGAGGTAGGCCCTGGGCCAGCTGGGTTGGCCGGGTGGGGCCGGCCTGGAGAGTTTCGCTCCTCCCCTCAGAACCAGCCTTCGGTCGGCTGTGGGTCAGCTCAGCCTGGGCTCGAACCCCAGTCCTGCACTTTTTGTGGGTTTCTTTCCTACCACCTAAAAAAAATAATTTATTAAGGTGAAATACACAGAACGTAAAATTAACCCAAGGTGAACAGTTCAATGGCATTTAGTACATTCACCTCCATCTAGCTCTCAGGCACTTCCATCACCCCCAAAAGCAAACCTCACTCCCATGAAGCACTCACTCTCTCCCCACCCTGTCCCCGGCCCCTGGCAGCCACTAATCTGCATTGTCTCTGTGGATGTATCTATTCTGGACATTTCAGATTAATGGATCCTACCATATGGAACCCCTTACACGTTTGGCTTCTTTCACTTAGCATGTTTTGGAGGGAGGTTCGTCTTGGCCTCCACTTTTTGATTCTGAGGTCTTGGAAAGTTCTTTCACCTCTCTGTTATAGGGGGGATTAGCATGTAGCTTTAGAGACTATTGGGAGGCAACATTTGCAACAATAGGTACCTTGGGGGCGGGCGGTCAGTAAATGGGAGCTATTTGGATTTGTGCTTCTTGAGATGCTGGGTACCATTTACCTGTTAGTCTGATTTATTTGTGGGTTCATCTATCTCGTCTGTAATGCTTAACCCCACTCTGTAGCTACAGGGAGTGCAACGTAAGCAAGCCCTCAGTGAATGTGTGGAATTCATTCACTGAAGAGGTATTTCTTCAACACCTACTGTGTGCCGGGCGCTGCTCTCGGTGCTGAATGAGAGGGTGACTCAAGGTGCCTGCTTTGAGCTACTTTGACAGCAGAAAATCCAGACTCACAATCCAAATGTACAAAGTCAGAAACATGAGGTAGGGAAGCATTTTCCATCAGAGAAGATTCCCTGAAGGGTTCCTTTAAGTTGATTACTTTCCCAGTGCTGTGGAAACTCACCCGGTTTACCACATCTGTGGCTGATACGCTCCCATGACACGAAATGGTGCTGCCCGCCCCGGAAGGCTTCTGTCACTCTTAAAGCCAACTCAGCACGTTCAGGACTATTTATTGGTTGCCGACTGCTCGAGGCAGAGTCTTGGGAATGAGCAGGTAGAGTGAGGAGAGAAGCTTAGTGCTAGAAGTTTAAACAGTTGCATATACCCCCAAACCCATGAAGACTGAAAGGACAACAGAAGTCAGTGGGACAGTGGGGTTCCACTGGCTGCCTCTGGGTTTACACACCTGTCCAGGAATCTAGTGACTGCATAGGACCACACTGGGAACAGGGAGTTGGAATGCCCCTGACTCTTACTCGAGGCCTTTAGTGGGGTACACCAGGGGGGCTGAGCCTAATGGTAGGATTCTGACCTTAGCCTTGCCCTCCTGGGCTTCACAATCCAGCGAGGGGATGGCACCTAACTCAGGCACCCAAGGGAGGTCCGAGTGCAAAACTCAGTGCAGCAGGCCTCCTTCAGGCAGGCAGGGGGTGATCACAGCGGACGCATTCACACCAAGACGACTTCCTGGAGGAGGTGACTTTTTCTGCTGTAAAAATACTTATGAAACTTTCAATTGACAATAACAGTAACAAAAATCTAAAACTCTGTCAGTTACTATTATAATTTACTACTGTAATTATAAAATGCCCCCAGAGCATTCATTTAACAGATGTTTTTGGTGCTGTTCCTGGTGCTGGGGTGCTGGGCGAATCAGATAGAATTTGCTACTCCTACGAGGAGATGCAGAGGACAGCAAACCAGGAGTTCGTGTAGAACAAGTGGTTAACGGGGTGTTATTAGAAAAGTGCAAACAATACCTACCAAGCTAATAACTAGTGACAGCTGACCTTCTGTTTGTCCTCACTGTGCACCAGCTGCGGCGTGCTCTACGCACGCTGAAGCATCCTGGCGCCCAGAGGAGGCGGCAGGCACCGTTTCCTCTGAGACCACACGAAGCACAAAGCAGGGTCTCCCTGTCACACGGCTGGTTAAGTGCCAGCGCTAGGTTTGGTCCTTGGTATTTGGGCACCGAGTCTGCCACGACGCATGACAGGGAGCAAATCCCGATTATCCATCACCAGCGTCCGTTCGCCGCCACGCTCATCCCAGTGACGGAAGTACAGGGAAGCCACACATCACAGTGTTTGCAGAAAAGGAACTTTTTAATTTCATCCAACAGAGTTACTGAGCACCCAGTGTGTGCCGAGCAGCGTGCCAGGAACAGGGCGGGGGGTGGGCATGGAGGTGAAGGGACCCGGGAATGACGCACCCAGGATGGGGGTGCCTGGGGAGGAGAGGGGAGGGAGCACGAGCAGCAGGGAGCTCGCCAGGGGGTGAAGCTGAATTAACAGGCGAACACGGAGAGGGACGATGCGGGAGGCACAGAATCGCAACCGGCGAAGACCCAGAGGGGAGAAGTGCCAGGTGTGGGTGAACCCAAAGAAGCCCAGGTGCCTGGAAGGGGAGGAGGAGAGGAGCCCGAGATGAGGCTGGAGAAGAGGCAGGTGTCTGGGGCACTGAGGCTGAGTTGGGGTGGGGCAGCTGTCACCAACCCAGACTCAGCAAGAGCCCACGTCCTTTGAAGGGCTCCAGGGAGGAACCGGCCGGTGGCTCCTGAGGGTCCCTAAGAGCCCAAGTCCCAGCTACTTCTCCCAGGCCCCTCTAATCCTGCTCTCCCCCCCAGGTGAGCATCACGGCGGGGCTGCGCTACCTGCACACGGCGCTGGACAGTGTGCCCAACCCCGAGGAGCCCGAGTGCGAGAGCGAGGGCTGGCTGCTGGAGAAGAGCGTGCCCGAGACCTGGAAGGCCTTTCTGGAAAGCGTAAAGAAGCTGGGCAAGGGCAACCAGGTGGAAGCCGAGGGTGCAGACGCCGGCCAGGCCCCAGAGGCTGGCTGAGGGCCGCGGGCCCCTCCCCTCCCGAACACTGAGCAGTAGTGGACTCCAAGAAACACGGATACCCCCTTTGTCCAACTCTGAGAGCCCGAATCTCCCAAGGCGGGCGCCATCTTACAGACTCTTCTTGATGGTGGAATTTAAAGTTTAGGGTCCCTAAAGCATTTGGCTTAAAGACGTTTATTGAATGACTGACTCAAAATGTGAATGGGCGAGCCCCCCCACAGGCCCATCACCCTAGGACGTGCCCTCGTGGCGACTCAGGGGCCTCTCAGTGGATGACTACCCCAGGACCTGCGTTCTCATGGCACAGGACGAGTTCAGTTCCATCCACATCCTAGGGCTGCTCCCCTTTTAGAGTCTGCCTGTTAGGAGCTCCAAGTTGCTTCATTCTAGGTCCAGAGTGTCACTTGGTGCATAAGCCCAGGAGTCTGAAAACTGAATGGCCGTGTTGTCTTTTCAACATTTTTCATGCCAAGATTGACAGGTCGGCCATTTTGTTTGCTTAATGCCTGAAGGTGGGGGCAAGTTATACTTTTCTAAGAGTAATGGACTCTCAAAGCACTGAAGGCTCTAAACAGGATTTCTTCCATCATGGGGCAAGAGAATTTTAAGGCGAGGGTTACTTCCCCCCCACCAAAAATATAGCGAAAGGCCTGCTTTTGTGTCATTTTGTGTCACATTCACATGCCCTCAGTCACGTAGCCTAGAGCAAGCCATGGGTTGACGAAGGCAGGTTGTTGGCATGTTCCAGCAACACTCCACCCCCAAAGTGCTGGGCGATGCCCTGTGGCTTGTCTACAGAAGCACTGGGTCAGCCAGATTGCTGCCTGCCCTGGAAGAGGAACCGCCACCACGCAGGAGTCTCCCTTTGGAGACCAGGCCTCGTCTCTTGGTGGGCCCAGGGACACCTACACAGGTGGCCATGGCAGCCCCCATGGACAACACTAATTGTCTACGGTGGAGGCCAAGGAGTCCTCTGGGAGCTTCTGTTTCTTCCCCCAGACACCCATCCTGCAACACACTATTTCTGGAATGCTTCTGTATCAAAGAACATTCTTTGAGATAACCCAACTTCCTGAGCTAGCAGCTGTTAAGAGAGTTTTCACTTCCTTTAGGAGAGTTTCCTCCGAAGCTTGGGAAGGAGAGAGTTTCACTGACATCCCAGGCCCCTGCCCAGCGTAATTCTGCCAGCTGGGTAGAACATTCAAGAGAGTTCGTTCCTATCTGGCAGGAGACCAAAGCCAGAGGGTAGAAAACAGAAAGGGAGCAGTCCGTAACTTAATCTCTGCTTCTGACCAAGCAATGGTGTTCAGGAACAGATTACTTTGGACTGAATTTGGGTTCGTTTCTGTCCTAAGAATTTCAGTGTAGGGAAAGTGAGACTTCTGGTGCTGTCTGGGGTGTGTTCTTGGGCTCTAATTCTCCCAAGCAGAAGACCAGATCAAAGATGTTTGGACACCCTGTCAGACTGTGGTCCCAGGTTGTATCAGACTTCTGAGTCTCCTTGAGACTAAGGAATGATCAACACTGAAGATGCTGAGCCAGCCATCTCTAGTAAGGGTCCCTGAGCTCGCCTCCATCTCTCAGGAGTGCTGAAAACCATTGTGAAAGTGCTGTTCTAGGCCCACATATGTAACTATGCTGTTAACAGCTGCATAATAGACATTAAAATATATATTATATGAAAATCACTTTTGTTAAATGACTGTCTTAGTCCATGCAACAACATATCACAAGATCCCCTAGTCTAGCTAGTGTTTGTTAAAAAAGAGAAGAAACCAACCCCAAAGGGAAGCACTGTTAACAACTCCTGTTACCAACATGGCATGGGTATCATGCCTCTCAACATTTGCGAGAGTTTGAATCAGAGCTCGAATATGTGGAATTTTAGATTAGTGATTTAGGCAAAAATTCCAAGCCATTTTTCTTCTTCTGCCCTAGGCAAAACGTATTTCCACAAACAGGGAAATGAATCTCCAAAGGGCCAGGTTATAGGGCAGCTATGAGCAATCTTGAGAATCTGGAAGCTGCTGGGAGGACCAAGGGTGACTTGACCCTATGATAAATCTCAGTAGGTTCAGAGCAGACTTAGGGTGGTTAACTGCATCATAACAAGTCTTCTCAGGTATCCAGCCAGCTGCTAGAGAAAACTCACCCATCTCTTTTGGTCACCTACCAGTACCCAGTAAGACTCTGGTACCAGGTTCTTCCTTGTGTCTAACCTCAGTCTTTCCTAGGGCTAGTATAAATTCATTTATCCAAAGGGACTCATCTAGTTTTTAAAGTTCTGACAGCCTAGCCCTGTGGTGGCATAAGAAGTAAAGACAGGGCTTTAGGACTTCAATTTTTAAAACTCTCATTCTATAGTGAAGAAATAGGTGATGGTTCCTTAGTTAGAACATTTAGGAAGCTGGGTGTCCTAGAATTTGTGGCCCCAGTTCAAGAGCCCTTGCAACATGCTTCAAGCCCAGGACTGAGCTGCCAGGATATAAGCCCTGAGTAACCTCAATATGCACTAATGAGATTAGGGGCTTGCCCTGCACCTCTGTCCGGGCGTCTGTTCTGCTAGGCCAGCAGGTTTGCAGCTTAGTCGGGGCAGCGCGGACCAAGACAATCAGGGCTGCTCCTCTACCACTGGATAAAAAGATGGCCCCTAATGGCAGCACAGGCAGCACCATGTGGAACAGGAATGTGTCTGTGGAATACTGTAGAAGCCCAGAGGAGAGAGGGGATGCCTTCCCAGTTCTCAATGGATGTGAGATTGGCTGGAAAGGGAGAAATGCATCAGTCGTTAACTGCCAATGGTATTTCATCCTGTCCTCTAAAACAGAGGATGAGTGCCCCTAATCTAATTTTGAACAGCAAAATTAGAGATTAGAGAATGCTGTACTCCAAGGATGGTGCAGAGTGGAAGATTAAGACATAAGGGACAATCCTATTTACCCAAAAGAAATGAAAGTTTAGGTTCACACAAAAGCTTAAACATGTTTGTAGCAGTAATAAGCAAAAATTACCCAAATGCCCGTCACCTGTGACTGCATAAATGTCCACACAATGGAATATTGCTGAGCCACCAAAAGGAACAGCATGGATGACACTCAGATGCATTCTTCTTCTTAGCGAGAGAAGCCAGACTCAAAGGCTACATATGATATGATTCCACTTATAGAACATTCTGGAAGAGGCAAAACAAAGGGACAGAAAAAGATGAGCAGTGGTCAGGGTCGGGGATGAAGCTGACTACAAAGGGGCACGAGGGAACTTTGTGGGGTGACTGAGCTGTTTTACTTCTTGATTGTGGTGGTTGTTAAACTGTATGTATTTGTCAAAATGTATAAAACTGTACACTTAAAAGCATTTCTCTTTTTATAAAATATACCTCAATAAACCTGACTTAAAAAAACAAGAGTAGGGACAGAGCGGGAGTGTGTCAGAGGGCTTCATGAGTCCTGGAACTGAAGATAAGGGTAGGGAAGGGAGTACGCTGGGGGAAGAGTTAACCAGGAGACGGGCCGTGCAACGGAAACCTTGCTGTTTTATTGTCTGATGCTTTCAAGAGGATGTTGAAAAGCACAGCAGAACTCTTGTAGGCAGTAACACCCTATGAACAGAATGCAGCTTCCTTCCTACATGTGTCTCTCAAGAGCAGAAAGTGTCTGGGGAGTTAAGGACAAGGACCTGGAAATCACCAGGTAAGGATGAGCAAGAGTTTAAACCCAGAGACAGGTCTTGGAGTGTCCTGTTTTCTAGTGACTTGAGGTCCAAAGTGGTCCGGAAAGGTCACAAGCTGTCATAGCCAATGAATATGAAACTTAATCGGCTGAAACGATGATTACACTTTCTCTGCGAAGGTCAAGATGGTTTGGCTAATGGCCATAATCAACACTAATAATATAAGCCTCTTAAATTTCAAGCTAATATAGATGTCCCACTTTACTTGTAGCAAGGTGACATGGGGAACACTACTGTGGCATTTAAGTGTATGAAACAAAACAGAAAGATATAGGCCAACCCAAAGTAATGTCAACACCTAAAGCATTTATTTGAATATCTTTAAACTTTTTACATATGATACATTTCCAAACTTTACAAGTTGTCCACAGATATTAAATTTATAGCCAATTTATTAAACAGATATGATTATCCCTGATATGGAAAGCATATGTTATATAAACATTTCTACAATAAACATAAAACATGCGGAAGAAATCATAAAACTACGATGATTCATTAGGTAGGGAAGACGACTAGCTTAACACCGGAAAACAAAAAGGTGTGTATGCTGCTGTTTCATGTAAATTCATCTTTACCCACACTGCCATTCTCAGAGAATGGTATCCAGGGATCCCCCTGCTAACTCCAGGCTTCTAGGAAGTCAGGTCTGAAAGCTGGAGTATTGTCATGATTGGGTGAAAATGTTTATAATCCACTTACAGAGGGAGAAACCCGATCTTACAATTTAAAATTTAAGCTTGGTGAACACATGGAGAAAAGCCAAAAGAAGCTGGATTTAAAATAAGCTAAAGGACCAGAAGTGACAAAGGTAAAAATAAACATTAATTTTGCCATCCGCAAACAACAGATCTTATGAATGGAAGGCCAGAAAAAGGGGGAGAGATGTGGATTCTAATTTAATTTTCTTCCTGTTGGTCCTCCTCTCTCAGCTGGGTGAGCCATTCTCAAGCAAGAAGGGTTCAAGTCACCCTTTCAAGAGGAGGTGTTCTTTGACACGCTACTTTGAAGAAGAATGTGGCTTCTGCACCCCCACTTATCTTAGCCTCAGGTCTGGATTTGGACCTATCTCCTGTGTATTCTACGGAGCGTGCACAGCTGAGTGGTAGCTGAGTGAATCGAACTTGTAAATGCAATTCAGAGAAAACTGAGTGAAAGGGTCACCTGCATTGGTTAAAACATCCAAGAGCCTCCTATTATTCATTTGTTCCGTAGCCCCGAAGTAGATTGGCTCAGAATTTATTCCTCCACTAAATCTGCCATCACTTTCAAGCTCTCAGCACACGTATGTATATCAAACAAGAGCAGTTGTGTGCTATGTAATAGTTATAAGCTATTTTACTAAGCGGCTATCATTCTAGGAAGGCACCTCTTAGTAAGAACAATAATGTTCAAAAAGAGTAAAAAGCCTGGGTGCAGGACACCCCAGGACTGGCTGAGTGACCAGCAGGTAAGCAGCTATCATCTATTCTGGGAAATGCTGGGCAGGTGGGGTGGGGACCCTCGAAACACTGAGTTCTTACTTTTTTCACTAGTGTTTGATTCTAGACACATCCATGCACCCAATTTAGCCTTAGAAATAACAAAGATTATTACCGTCTGAAAAAGTAGGATATTCTTTAAGTTTTCAGAAAGCCCTTTAAATGAGTTTTTTCTCTTAAAGCCAAAAGTTTTGACAAAAAAGAAAAAAAATTCAACCTTTGACAGCCCTGGAAAACCTGCCAGCACACTAAGAACCCACCTCCTCCCCACGGGCTCCTTCTGCACAAGTGTCCACCAACCCTCTCACAGTTGATGGGGAGAAGAGAATATTGCCTTCAAAATCAACTGCTTTGCTCTTAGAGGTAGGGTCCCATCAGCGGAGAGGAACACAACTCAGTCCCAGCGTTGAGAGGAACCAGGAAGTGTGACCCCAAGAGACCACAGAGACTTTGTTTCCTGCCCTCTATTGAATCAGCTTCAAACCTGGAGTTCACTATAATCAATAACGTAAAATGGCTCAGACTTCTGGGAACAGTCGAGCGCAGTCAGACTTCCCTGAAGGGGCTGTGCTCTAGTCCAGGAAGAGAAGCTCCTCGCCAGATCCTGATACTCAAGGCTTTACATTTGGGGGACACAGCAAACAGGGCAAGGAAATCTGACCATGGAAGATGATTTTCATCAGTCCCCGGAGCCAGAAACTATAAAAATAAAACTGGGAAGGAAAATTTAAATAAAGAATTTATTTCAAAATTCAGAACTTATATCCTACTCTCTCTTTAAAAGCCAACTGTGTTACAAAAGTCCAAGTTTATGTTTTTGGTAGTGAAGATATTATAAATGCTGCCAGTCAATGCCAACCAGTGTCTGATTTGCTTCCTGTGCGTGTCCAATTTGCTCTGTGATGCTGTGCTGGTGCCAGAGCTTCTGAATCTTCTTAAATCGCTCTTTACACAAATGTAAAGGGTTTCCCCGCCTAGAAAGAAGACACATGTCACTCAGGAAGCATTCTATTTATTCATCTATTATACTCCAACCCTTCCTGATTTAGGAAAAGTTACAAGTTATTAGTTTTAGAGCCTCTGCAAACTTTCTGTCCAGCAGGTAACTGTGGCTATGAACAAAACACATCAGCTCTGAAGGTTTGCCAAGAGCAGCTGAAGGGGAGTCAGTGTCTGCTGAAAAGGGAAGGAAAAAGCACACATCCCACACCTGCCCAGAGTAGGTGAGGGAGTGGGGTAGGGGAGCAGGGGGTTCTGGGTTGAGAGGCTAAAACTACCCATTCATTGTCCGTTTTGTTGGTATCATGTAAAAGGGGGGGCAGAGGAGACGGTGAGTGAATTATTAGAGCACTCTGAAGAACATTCTGACTCCTATGTGTCAGATGCCACAAAGACTCAGTGAAGCAGCCAAATGCGTGTGGCTTCCAGGTCTAATTTAACCACAAAAACAAGCTTGGGTGGGTTCTCCTGAGCCAGGCACCTGTGCTCCCAATTCAGAGTGTACCAATCTTCTCACTGTCTAACCAGGGGCCCTCGCCCTAAGACTCACACCAGGAACCTCCACCAGATGGCATGTGGACATAGCCTTGCAGTCCGGCGCCCAAGGCATCTACCTCCCCTGCCTGGGCTTCCAGGCCTTCAACTTCTGCTGCTACTTGAGGCTGGAAAGTCACATGTAGGTTAAAACTTTTACTTCCTTTGGGCAAAGAGATGGCCTAAAAGAAGTTCTTGCATAGTGCTTGAGGGAACTGCTGTTAGCATTTTGCTTATGATATACTATAGAAACTATAAGAGTAGATGTGACTTGCCTCAAATACCGTGAAAATTAAGACCTGCTCTTTTCTATCACCTGGAGAACACTGGATCTCCCCCATACAAAGCCATGCAAGTTAGAACGGGCCATCTTATAGTGCTGATTCTATGGATGTCACACGGCATTCAAACAGATCTCTGAGTGGTAAATGGAATGAAGCTGCACCGTCCTATTCTTTCCCCTGACCTATCCTGATGTTCCGCATGGCACTCTGAAGGCTGGGAAAAGAACACCAAACCAAGCAGCTAGGGCCTCTTCCTTGGAAAAGAGTCCACAGACAACACAGCCACCTCTGCCAGAACCACCTGAGTCCCCTGGGTGTTAGCAGGGCTGCCCTCAGGACCACACGGCTCACCGTGTTTTACCACGCACGGAAGGGCTCTGAAGGCCCAGAGTCAGCCAGCCCAGCCCCCCAGGATGGGCCCTTACCTGAGTCCCTGGTCAGTTTCCCCATAGTCATCAAGGTAAGGAGGAGAATAAAAACAGCCTTTGGTTTTGCCGGCTAAAAATAGCACTTGACATTCCCGTACTCTGTAGAGAGATCATTTGTACATTTTACATTTACACATTAGTAATTGAGGTTTGGTTTCACTTCCAAATGGAATGAAGTGTTGTTTTTTTTTTTTATTTTTTAAGAAAACTTTTCCCAGAATAAGGGAATGAAGTCTTATAAAAATAAATAATCCCAGCGTTGAAAAAGAAACAACATTTATAGCAAAGAGACACTAAAAAGTATCAAACCATCTGCCTAAGTTTTCAAAATAACTAAAATGATTGTAATCAATAATGATCATCTTGCAAATCAACATAGTAAGGGGCAAGAACACCTACGATTAGGAATTAACAGCTCAAGTAATAGAATTTAAAAAGTTGTTAAGGGTGGGAGGGATCAAAAATTACCTATAGAGTACAATCTGTATTATTTGGGGTGACGGGTACACTAAAAGCCCTGCCTTCACCACTATACAATTCATCCATGTAACAAAAACCCACTTGGCACCACATAAATCTATTGAATCTACCGAAGTAAAAAACAAGACAAAAAAGAACTGTTAAGTGTGAGAAAGACAGTTAACTTGAAAACATAAAATTGGTACTGATATTTTAACTACAATTATGAGGAAATTATTCATTTAAAAAATTGTGCACAAAAAAAAAAAAGAAAAAAAAAGAAAAAAAAATTGTGCACAAACATTATGAATTAGGTTGATCTGAGACACAAGGCAACACACTTTGTACAGGACCAGAAGAATTTGGAAATATGCTAGCCAAGGGAAAATGCTACTTTTACATTTCTCCCAACGGCTATTTAACAATGTGTCCCTTGATCCCTTTGAGAGATGTGCCTGACTTTTTCTGGTATTAATAATTCAGCCCAATTCAACAAATATTGTCATGAAATGTTGACAAGAGAAATTGTCAAGGCACTGGGGGATACAAAGATGACTAAGATGTGGATATAGCCTATGCCCCAGAGGAGCTCAAACTCCTGTCACTTCTCTGCTTTAAACCCTGAAATGGCTTCCACCTCACTGAGAAATCTCACCAGGACACACCAGGCCCCACAATGCTCTCCCTTGCACACAAAACTGCAGCGACACCGGCCTCCTTGCCCTCAACAGGCAGCACGTTCCCACCTCAGCAATTTTGTCCTAGCTGCTCCCTGCCGAGAATGGTCTCCCCTGCTTCTTCAGGTCTTTACTCAAAAGTCATGTTTTCAGAGTCTTCCTTGCTCCGCTATCTAAAATTCTCCAGCTGCTATTTCATATTCCCCTCCTTGCTTGATTTTTTTCTCCTCAGCATATTATCATCTAAATTCTTTCTTTTCTTTTTCCTAAAGATAGGGTCTCGCTCTGTGGCCCAGGCTAGAGTGCCATGGCGTCATCATAGCTCACTGCAACCTCAAACTCCTGGGTTTGAGTGATCCTCCTGCCTCAGCTTCCTGGGTAGCTGGGACTATAGGCACGTGCCACTACGTGCCGGCTAATTTTTCTGTTTTTTTGTAGAGACGGGGGTCTCAACCTTGCTTAGGCTGGTGATGAATTTCTGACCTCAATCGATCCTCCCACCTTGGCCTCCCAAACTGCTAGGATTACAGGTATGAGTCACCACGCCCAGCCCACTAACTAAATTCTTATTGGTCTTGTTTAATCTCACTCTCTAAGAAAATGAGCTCCATCCATGAAGGCAGAGATTTTTGTCTGCTTTGTTGACTACTGTATTCTAGTGCATAGTAGTCACTAAGTACCTGTTGTATGTTGTTGAATGAACACAACTACATATGCTAGCCTGTGACATGTATGAATGGAGGTAAAATCCAAAAGCCACTAGGACACAAGAGAGTACTGATTGGAGGTGGACAGAAAAATCAGGGACAGCTAGAAGTTTCATGTTAGAGGGAGAAATGAAGAAAGTAGAACATAAGTGTCACCTGTGGTGGAGGTAGGGGAAGTGGGAATGATGATAATGGAAGAACCAAAGCAGAGTTGGCATGAGTCAAATGTGAGACAAGGATCTTTGTGTTTCGCAAATGAATAAAACACAGGACAACAGTGGTCTCAAATTTCTCTGCAATGTAGTTATTTCTTGTGCTATCTCCCCAAAAGGTATATACCGAGGCAGAGCCAAAGCTAAAAAGCCCGCGGCAGGTCCTTACCTCAGGAAGATGCCTGCCCCAGAGCCGCAGGAGTAGGTGTGAGCTGTGCAGGCTCCGACATCGTCCCCTTCCAGTTCCGTCTGGCAGCAGTAGCTCTGGGAGCACAGCAGAGTGCCACACACAAGGCACAGAGTTGGGGCTCTACTTTTATCACCACCCGATTTGGGGCACCTCCACAGGAAAAAAAAAAATCACATGTCATTGCTCTAAAAAAAGAGTGGCTAAAAAGCTGAGGGTGAAAAAAACCCCTGGAAAAGAATTTTCCAATAACAAGAGGAGCCAAAGAAGCATATATTCTATGGTACAGGCAAATTTACTCCTAGAAGAGGGAATAGGGAACAATTCACACATATACACAAAAACCATGTACTGGAAACAATAATCAGGGAAAAGAAAATCATCAATAGGAGAAAAAGATGGAGACAGTGCTATTATCATGTAATGGAATACTATAGAGCAGTGAAAATCAACAAAGTTGATGTCAACATGGATAAATGTTAGAAACAATGCTGAATGAAAAAAACTGTAGAATATGTATAGTACAATATCATTTAAATAAAGCTTAAAACATACAAAATAATAATATATGCTGCTTAGGAATATAAACCTGTGTAGTTAATGCATAGGAATGCTTAATACTCACTTAGAACAGTAGATATCTGCAGGGGAAGGAAGAAGAGGCAACAGAGAAGAGATAGGCAGGGGGCTTCAACAATCTAGGTAATGTTTAAGTTCTTATACTACCGTATTAATTCTCTATGCTGCTTGCATGCGTACAAGCAGCATAGAGAATTAATACAGTAGTATCAAAGTATAATTACAATTATAATTATAAAGTATAATAGTATTAAAGTATAATTATTAATATTTAGATAACTTTCTGTGACTCCAATTTACCCTCTACCACTCTTATTCTGTATCTGATACATGGTGGAATGATGCTTTTATAAGTTAGGCAGTACGTAGTACTACAGATGTTATGACTTCCCTACACAAACAAAACAAGAACAATAACAAAAATCCCTCAAACTCTTTGTAGAGAATGTTTCCAGTGGCAGGGAATGTTCAGTGCTCTAATACCAAAACTTACGAGAAATTGGATGCTTGATTAATGAGGCTGCTGTAATCTTCCGGAAGGTCTATTAATTTGTTAGATTCTCTTGGATAGCTAAAAAAATGTAAAAATTAATAAAACTCAGTTAATATAAGGCCATACTATAATGATGACAGGGTAATTCTTAGTTTAGTCAAAACAAATAAAAGAAGACTGAAGCTGAGAGATTACATGTTACCACAGTGGTATAAGAAACTGGACTGGCCAGGCGTGGTGGCTCACCCCTGTAATCCTAGCACTCTGGGAGGATTGCTTGAGCTCAGGAGTTCAAGACCAGCCTGAGCAAGAGTGAGACCCCATCTCTACTACAAATACAAACATTAACTGGGCGTGGTGGCACATGCCTGTAGTCCCAGCTACTCGGGAGGCTGAGGCAGGAGGATTGCTTGAGCCCAGGAGTTTGAGGTTGCAGTGAGCAGTAATGGTACTTAGTTTCTGTTCCATTTAACTGAAAGTTTGGTAGCTGTGAGAAGAAGGGGAGAGGCAGAAGATATTCATTCCCAGATAAAAACAACATACTAATGGAGAGTCCAACCACAGAATTTAGAAGACAGAAAGGGATATGTTTATTAGGGTGATCTTAAGGTGAATGAGTTGGAAGAGAGATGCAGTAGAAGAATAGATATGTTTTATTTAAATTAGAGAGATACCAGGCCATGTTGATCCTATGATTCAAGTTAATTCAGACAAAATTTATTATAGATCCAAATTCAACCAGTATTTGAGGATCCACTCTCAGTGCAGGGCACTTCCACGTGCCCTCACTTGCCTAGCACAGGCAACATGGTGTGGCCTTTCACTATTTTACCTTCTGCAAACTTAAACTGAGAGGGGAATTATTTCAGATGATAGTCTTAATCATACCAGAATCACTTGAGGTAGTTTTGAGGGGATATACAAGTTAGGACTTCAACTTCAGAGAAATTAGATATGGTAGGTAGAGAAATTAGATATGGTAGGTAGTGTTTTGAGTATTTTTAAAAAGTTTCCAAGGTTATTCCAATGTATACTTCAGATTGAGAACTACCATTCCATATATTAAGAGTTTTCTGACTATACAGTTGAACCATATGAAATTGGTAATATTCATCCATTTTTGACTTTTAAAACTAGAATTTCAACGTAATAAAACTGAGTTATTATTTCTGTACATGTTAAAGTAAACAAATAGAACAGATAATCTCCTTTAGTCTTCTGATTTTTAGGGATGATGTAGTTAGTAGAATCAAGTAGATACAGGTTGACTATCTCTTATCTGAAATGCTTGGGACTACAAGTGCTTTGGATTTTGGATTTTTTGGAGTTTGGAATATTTTGCATTACTGGTTTGGCATCCCTAAGCTGAAACTCTGAAATTCAAAATGTTTCAATGAGCATTTCCTTTGTGCACCATGTTGGTGCCCAAAAGATGTCTATGTAGCATTTCAAATTTTGGGCTTCTGAATTAGAGATACTGAACCTGTAGTAACAGTTGAAATGCATTTGTTATCATCCAGTAGAGCATACTTTACTACAGAACCAGAATAGAACCAATGTAAAAAGGAATGAAAAAAAAAATATATAAAAATGGCCATGATTTGATAATTACTGCACGTGCGTAACAGGTATGTGGAACCTCATTATACTAGTCTTTAACTTTTGGATAGTTTGAAACTTTCCATAATAAAAGGAATAAAACAGAGCTAAGAAAAACCTAGGGTGCTGGTCATGGTGGCTCACGCTTATAATCCTAGCACTCTGGAAGGCCGAGGCAGATAGATTGTTTGAGCTCAGGAGTTCAAGACCAGCCTGAGCAACAGCAAGACCTCGTCTCTACTAAAAAAAATAGAAAGAAATTATCTGGACAACTGAAAATATATAGAAAAAATTAGCCTGGCATGGTGGCTACATGTGTGTAGTCCCAGCTACTCAGGAGGCTGAGGCAGTAGGATTGCTTGAGCCCAGGAGTTTGAGGTTGCTGTGAGCTAGGCTGACGCCATGGCACTCTAGCCCAGGCAACAGAGTGAGAGACTCTGTCTCAAAAAAATAAAAGAAAAAGAAAGAAAGAAAGAAAAACCTAGGAAGAGAACATACATATTTTTAAAGCTAATATTCCAATATATAATAATTTTGTTATTTGCTTCCTCTGCCAAGAATAATGTAGTATATTTATGATTATCATTCTTAATTTTACAATTTCATTATTAGATTAAGAAAAAAGTATGAAGGTAAGATGTCCTATCGTTGGGAATTGCTGAAGGCAAGTGGAAATCAGATTTACCAGATTTGAAGGAATACAGCACTTATACCCTGCTTCTTCCCTCCCTCTCACTCCCAATCAAGTTTTTGATGATCTTTAACTTACCTTATAGCATATCTTTCACCTTGTAGGTATCTTTTAACTTCATTGTTATGACACCAACTTTAATGTAAACAGGGGGGGAAAAACACAAAACACTATTACTTTTAAAGGGCCAGAACTAGAATTTTTCCCCATCTATAGCCAGTGAGAGGAAAATAATCTTCTTGACTTAATATATCTATCCATCAAAAGAAGCCTAGAGAAATAATGTATTTTGCCTGCAGCTTGTAAAATCACAAGAATATTTATAATATTTTACCCTAACGGGTGTGAAATTGTAACATACTGGGGTTTTCCCAATGATTAGTGATGTTGGGCATCTTTTCTTGTGCCTATTGGCTATCTGAATAACTTCTTGGAAGAAATACCTATACAAGGCCAGGCGCGGTGGCTCACGCCTATAATCCTAGCACTCTGGGAGGCCAAGGCGGGTGGATTGCTCAAGGTCAGGAGTTTGAAACCAGCCTGAGCAAGAGCGAGAGCCCGTCTCTACTATAAATGGAAAGAAATTAATTGGCCAATTAATATATATAGGAAAAAAAATTAGCCGGGCATGGTGGCGCATGCCTGTATTCCCAGCTACTTGGGAGGCTGAGGCAGAAAGATTGCTTGAGCCCAGGAGTTTGAGGTTGCTGTGAGCTAGGCTGATGCCATGGCACTCATTCTAGCCTGGGCAACAAAGCGAGACTCTGTCTCAAAAAAAAAAAAAAAAAAAAGAAATACTATTCAACTACTATAGGAAAAAAAATTAGCCGGGCATGGTGGCGCATGCCTGTATTCCCAGCTACTTGGGAGGCTGAGGCAGAAAGATTGCTTGAGCCCAGGAGTTTGAGGTTGCTGTGAGCTAGGCTGATGCCATGGCACTCATTCTAGCCTGGGCAACAAAGCGAGACTCTGTCTCAAAAAAAAAAAAAAAAAAAGAAATACTATTCAAGTCCTTTGCCCATTTTTTTTTTTGTTGTTATTGTTGAGTTGTAGGAATTCTGGATATATACATATTCCCTTATCAGAGAAATGATTTGCAAATATCTTCTCCCATTCTGTGGGTATGACAACCATATATACCTTAACTCAGTTACTAACTTGACATGATTGACAGGCCAATTTCTCTAGACTTCAGTTTTCTTAAATATAAAGGAGGTATTAGAGTAGATAATCTTTAAGGTTTCTTTTAGCTTTAAAAATCTATAGATTTTTAGCATTTCAAGACATCCAAACGCTACTACCAACATTTTCCTGTGCATTAACCTCTGCATGTGAAAACTTAACAGTTACTGAACTTTGTAAATACGTGAATTTTTTATTTAGGTGGATGCATTTTTCGTCTGTTTACTGCTCTTCTCAGCTTTATTCAATAAACTTGCATTTGGAGGGTTGTATTGACAATTTTAACTTAAAAATGTGCATCATGATGGAATGTGCAGACTTCTTTGGAAGGACTTAGTTACCAGGAGGAAGATCCATAGACCATGTGCTAGAGAGAAATCAGCTCAGCCCTCAAAAAATTAGGTCTATGGGCTACTTAAAATAAAAATAAACTTTTAAAATATCTACAGGGAAGAAAAAATCTACGGAACAGAGTCCTTAACAAGTAAGTTCATGTAAAGAAATAAACATTTTTACTACTATTCCCTTTCCACCCAAATCTGTTTATGCTACTCACTAGCTTGGCAAAAACCTTACCCAAAAGTCAAATTCTTAGTTAAAAAAGAATAATCACTGTAGTTTGAATTACATGTGCTGAATTCTACCAGGCTCACTATTTGAGAATTTTGCTATGTATGTTACAACTAGTTTGGTTCCACAGAACTATTTGATACAATAAAGAAAAGTCATTACCTTTCAATTAGTAAATTCATTATCTCATTATTTTCTTGAAAAAGGCTTATGAGGTTGTTTGGTAGGGAAAGATAGCTACATAAATGTTCAAAATGGCTTGTTCCAGAAACTGCAAATGAAGAAGAAAAGAATAATGCATATAACTAAGAGTATATCCTGTATAGGAGTAAGGAATAGTAGAGTTAAAAAAATATTATGAAAAAGTTCAAATTTGCTACATATATAACTTACAGGACATTAACAGAATGGCATGTGGAAGGAATTCATGGAAAATGACACAATGGATAGAATGGAGTCAGGTGACTCCTATAGCAAACTGGTCACAATTTCCTGGTGTCTCAGCTTTACCAATTGCAAATTGGTGTTTACCTGTTCAATCTATTTCATGGTGTTATTATGAACATTAAATTATAAAAATAATGTTTGGGTGCTTTGGAAAATTACTAAATAATACAGAAATCTAAGATGGTTTTATCACAAGGGATGGACTTAAACACTAATTTTAATCATCACTGTAAATAATTTGGAAGCTTAAACTATTCTATGTGGTACCTGAGCAACTAACTGAATGGAGATACCAGTCAACTTATAGACAGTGGCATTATATGGAGGCATCCTTTGAGCAGTGCCAGGCACTGAGAGAATGCAGAGGTCCAATCAAGTCCACCTTTATATCACCTTTTTGAAATGAATTAAAACAGAACATGGAAAACAACAGTGAAACAGCCTATCAATTCCCATATTAAAATTAGGTTTATGTGCAATTACGGGTATTCTGAAATTTAATGTCATACATGTTTCAAGTTAAAAATCACTTGAAATTGTCAGTTTTAACTTTATAAAATCTGAGGAAGCCAGTTTATGAATAATGCATAATTGGACATTTTAACAACAGAAAGCAAAACTAGTATCTTTATGGGAGAAGTGCTTTGCAAGGGTAAAAACATTTACACAAAAGTTTAATAATACATTTACTGAGATCCAAATAAAAGTAGATATGTACATAAACATGCATTTTAATTCTATAAATGTGTACAGTATACATCACCACAGTCAATTAGCTAAGCTCTAAACCAGGCGTCCTCAAACTATGGCCTGCGGGCCACATGTGGGTGTTTTTGCCCGTTTGTTTTTTTACTTCAAAATAAGATATGTGCAGTGTGCATAGGAATTTGTTCATAGTTTTTTTTAAACCATAGTCCGGCCCTCCAACAGTCTGAGGGACAATGAACTGGCCCCCTGTTTAAAAAGTTTGAGGACCCCTGCTCTAAACTTTTCGTCAGTTTTCACTTTGCAATTCACCTTTATATTTACTGAAGTAAAAGTCCACAAACATTTCCCACATTTTGAAAGAAATCAGAAATTACCTTGAATGTCAGGTGGAGAAGGAACTCCATTTAAGTAATGAAAAAACAAAGCAGAACACTTCAGGAAAGGCATGATTCCAGCTCTGACTCTCCTCCATAGATGCCAGCCAGAGGGCATTCCTTTCAAGGCACTGAAAAGAGAAAAAGATTAGGAAATCTAATAAAAAAAGGTAACTGTAATTACAGGCACAGTACAAAAACAGACATGACTGCCATTTAAAACTGATGGTACATAGCTTAAAAGGAGTGAGCTGAGCTGGGTGTGGCACCTGTAGTTCCAGCTATTCAGGAGGCCTCAGGAGGCAGGAGGATTGCTGTGGCCAGGAGTTCGAGGCTGCAATGCACTACTACAAATGCACATGTGACTCTAGCCACTACACTCCAGCCTAGGCAACACAGTGAGACCCCATCTTTTAAAACAAAAGGAGTGTGTTAACAGGCCAGTGGTAGCCCTGACTATACAAGATGTCAGGTATAGGTAGTGATATAGCTTCCAAGGTTGTTATTAAAATTTTAAAAAGTAACATAGACATGTAAAGAGAAAATTTAGAAAATGAAAAACCACCCACTATTCCTGTGCCTTATACCACTAGCAGGTATTATTCTGGAGAACTATTTTCAAGTTAATTTGTCTCATATAGTTGTAACTGTAATAATGAAATTTGAAATTAACATGTTTTCAGAACATTATAAGCTATAATTTTGATTTGCTTTGTTTTTTGAGACAGAGTCTTGCTTGCCACCGTGCCCAACCTTTTTTGTTTTTTTTCTTTTGAGATAGGGTCTCACTATGTTGCCCAGGCTAGATTTGAACTCCTGGGCTCAAGTGATCCTCTCATCCCAGACTCCCGAGGAGTTGGGACTAGAGCTGTGCACCAACGCACCTGGCTCCCAAAAGGCATAATTTTTAACAGATTTATAATATTTTAGAAAAAAGCAATCATAGCTGAATGCCAAACTATTCTCCTGCAAACACTTTGATTACTTTCAATAGTTTGCTAATATTAAATAATATCAGAGTGTACATCTTTACATGCCTATAGGTTTTTCTATATGTTGTATCATTTTGTTAGAGTGGATTCTCAGAAATGGGATAATTTAGTCAAAGGGCAGACATTTTTATAGGTTCTTGACAAATATTGTTAAAAAGCTAAGCGAAACTATTTGTAGCAAATCACAATGCCTCAAACAATACATTAAATTCTAATAATTTCACTTCACTCCTGCCACTCCTGGATATTACCTTAAAAACAAACATATTACGTCAATTTAATTTGTGTTTTTTAATTCCTAAGGAGACAACATATGTTTTAGAATAGCACCTTTCCAAAGTTCATTCCATCTATCCACCAGTTTTGCCAGAACCTTTGAGCAAATGAAGGGTTCCAAGGCCAAATAAATGTGGGAAGCTCTACATATTATTACCCTTCTCTCAGAGATGTCCAATTATATTATTATATGAATAGCTGACAGAAGTCCTGCAGACACTCCCATGTCTTTTTTTTTTTTTTTTTAAACATGTCATTGTCAACAGACAGCAATTTCCCCTAATTATCAAACGAATTTCTTTCTCATGCCATCATCTACTAATACTTGGGGAAATGCTTATGGTGTAAAGATTTGTCTCACCTTCCTGTATACTGGTGAAGTGTTTTATACAAAGCAAGAACTGCTAGTTCTTCCTCAGTAGTGGAATTTTCTTGATCCATGCCATTCTCTTCTGCAAGATAAGGAAATATTAGTACTCTGTATTTTCCAATTAAGTAGCAAATGGATTGATGACCATATCATTTAAGCATGCAAATATAAATATATTCATACACTCACATATAACATAAAATAGTCCCACAAAACATACAGAATTTTAATCCTTCCAGTGTGAGCACAGTATTGATCTCCGTCAGACCAAGGAACCAGCTGCCATGTTGTGAGTAAAGTCAGCTAAATATATTGTCTTAAAATGTTTGAAAAATGGGGAAGTTCGAATGTAAAACTGATGAACTCACAAGGGCATTAAGTTAAAACAAAATTGATATTCTAAAACAAAATTCTAAGGGGCTTACCTACTATGCTTCTCAAATATTACTGACCTTATGAAATATAAACAGGTAAAAACATTCACATTTCTAGGGAATTACAATAGGAGAAAGAAATTTGTTTCAAAACTTTTTACATGAGGATAAACAAAGTAAGCCTAATTATAATTCATGTAGTACTCTCATCCAAATACCTTTTGTTTTTAAACCTGGGAGTACACATTCAAGTTGCCCTGAATGTATGCTCCCAAATATCTTTTCCTCTAATGCTTTTTTTTTTTTTTTAAACTGAGAAAACTCAAGTACTTCCTTTAAGAAGCTGACAAACAGGCAAGAGTTACCTGTACATGAGGTAAGTAAGATTTGTACGATGTGTGCCATAGTAACCAGATGGAAAATGTGAAGGTCTCCAGTGGCAAGGCTGATCCCTGAAAAATCTTGACACTGCAATGCAGGGAAAGCAAGCACCAAGCCCACCTACACAGGAAGTACAGAGCATCAGACAGACTGCCTCTCCTTTCATAGCAAAACACATTTCCATTTTACTGTGGTCCTTCCTGAACTCAGCCCCTCCCTTTAAGAAATCTTTATTAAAGGATATACACATTAGAAAATCCACTAGGACTGGCTAAATGAAATGAATTAAGAGTTAAAGGGGTCTCGATGGGCACTATCATTTCATTTATCCTATACATAGCTTATTGTTAGTAATAATAAAAACAATACCTGAAATCTTTCCAGGGAGTGAACAGTTGAAAAAAACTTAGGTTTTAGACTTACAAAGATCTAGATATGAATCCCACCCTTCTCCTCTCATGAGCTTCTTTAGACAAGGCAACATTTCTGAGCTTCAGTTTCCCCTTTAGTGAACTAGAGATAATATCTATGTGTTTTGGATACCGAGTTAGTAGGGATGTCAGGACCCAGCATGAGTGCATTTGAAAGCTGGCTAGTACAAAATAAGTGCTAGCTCTTTGTTAGCCCCTTGCTGCCCATACGGTGGTGCAAATGGTGGTGGTTTTAGTGGTCACAATAAGAATAGCTGAACTTTATTAGGGATATATTGCTCTAAGCCTCTTTTTTTTTTTTTTTTTTCTGGCTGAAGGATAACTATATTATTTTTTTTTTTTTTTTTTTGAGAGAGTCTCACTTTGTTGCCTAGGCTAGAGTGAGTGCCATGGCGTCAGCCTAGCTCACAGCAACCTCAAACTCCTGGCTCAAGCAATCCTTCCGCCTCAGCCTCCCAAGTAGCTGGGACTACAGGCAGGCGCACCATGCCCGGCTAATTTTTTTAATATATATCAGTTGGCCAATTAATTTCTTTCTATTTATAGTAGAGACGGGGTCTCGCTCTTGCTCAGGCTGGTTTCGAACTCCTGACTTCGAGCAATCCGCCGCCTCAGCTCCCAGAGAGCTAGGATTACAGGCGTGAGCCCCGCGCCCGGCTTTATATTACTTTTATGTACAGGAGACAACAGTGTACATTTAGCCCAGTTTGGTGGCAAGTTCTTTTGCCTTTGCCTTTTCCAGCTTGGCGATGCGAGCCACAGATTTGGGACCCAGGACGTTGCCTCCCCAGTGATGACGGATCTCGTCGTATCTGTCGTTGTAGTTGGTCCTGATGGCTTCCACCAGCTTGGCCAGAGCTCCTTTGTCTTCCGAGTTAACCTGCGTGAAGGCGACAGTGGTGCAGGTCTTCCTGTGGACCAGACGCCCCAGCCTGGCCTTCCCCTTGATAATGCAGTAAGGGACCCCCATCTTCCGACATAGCGCAGGCAGGAAGACAACCAGCTCGATGGGATCCACGTCATGTGCGATCACCACCAGCTGAGCCTTCTTGTTCTCCACCAAGGTGGTGACAGTGTTGACCCCTGCTGGAAGGACAGGTGGCCACTTAGTGGGGACATCCCCTTTGCCGGCAGCTTTCTTCTCAGCCCGGGCCAACAGCCGCTGCCTCTTCTCTTGCTTCTCTTGCTCTGGTCTGTACTTGTGGGCCAGCTTAAGCAGCTGAGTAGCTGTTTGGCGGTCCAAGGCCTGGGTGAACTGGTTAATGGCAGGAGGCACTTTCAGCCGCTTGTAGAGGATAGCTCTCTGCCTCTGCAAGCGGATGTAGCGGGGCCATTTGACAAAGCGGGTGAGGTCCCTCTTGGGCTGGATGTCCTGTCCAATGCCAAAGTTCTTCGGCCTCTTCTCGAACAGGGGTTCACCACTTTTTGGCCTCCTGCTTCTTCACCACGGCGGGGCCGGGGCCACCTTCTTCCCTTGGCCTTCTTCCCTTCGGGATGTTGGCTGGCTGGAGCAGAAAGCTGCTCTCTAAGCTCTTTATACGGATTAACCCAGGGGTCCTCAAACTTTTTATACAGGGGGCCAGTTCACTGTCCCTCAGACCGTTGGAGAGTGTGCACTGTGGGCCCTGGACTAGTCGGCTGCTAAGCAGGACAGGCAGCGGTGGCAAGAACACCCAGAGGGCCAGATAAATGTGCTAGGCGACTGGCATGTGGCCCGAGGGCCATAGTTTGAGGACACCTGGATTAACCCATTAAGTTTTGACATAGCCATATGAAGTAGGTACTAACCAACTTAAAGGTACAGAATCTGAGGGCCAGCACTTGGGCTGTGGGTGTAGTGGTGCACTCTGTATTCCGTCAAAGGGACCCAGCTGAGGTGGAGCTGAAATTTGGCTTTTTTATTAAGAACACCCACTGTTTACCAGCTGTGTCCTGGCACCAAGCTGCACCTGCTCAGAAGAGGTACCTTTCCCTGAATCATAAAAAGAGGCTGTTTGCTTCTAAGTAATGGGACCACAGGCTGTAAGTACCCAGATTTTCTAAAATGCACAGAAGCACTATATGGGCCAGCAACAGCCATTATGTTGCTGGTGGTGTTGTTATTGTTTTTTTAAATCTCTTTGTAGGTTAAAAGCACAGAGAAGTTAAATTACTGACCTCAGTCACAAAGGAAACTAAGAGATGGAGAATGTCTAGACAACTTGGTCAAGTTTCTCAACTAGGTTCCTTAATATTTTCTTTTTGAGGTTACTCATAAAGGAATTGTACTCAGAAATGGTAAGAATAGTATCATATGATTAACTCTTCTCATCTGTCTCTATCAAATCTAAGGTAAAGTTATGTAGTACAATAAAGAGAACTCCAAACAAACTGCAAAAACTCACCAATAAATGAAACATGTCAATATCCAATATGCATGGAAGGTCTTCATGGCTGTTATTAGGCACCAATGCTAAAGATTTAGAGGAAAATACATTAGCACATTTCATATACCAACATAGCTTAAATGCATATAATCTTGTTAAATTTATAAGCTAAACTTTATACATAAGAAAACCAAGCCGGGCGCGGTGGCTCACGCTTGTAATCCTAGCTCTCTGGGAGGCTGAGCGGGTGGATTGCTCAAGGTCGGAGTTTGAAACCAGCCTGAGAAGAGCGAGACCCGTCTCTACTACAAATAGAAAGAAATTAATTGGCCAACTAATATATATAGAAAAAATTAGCCGGGCATGGTGGTGCATGCCTGTAGTCCCAGCTACATGGGAGGCTGAGGCAGGAGGATTGCTTGAGCCCACGAGTTTGAAGTTGCCGTGAGCTAGACTGATACCATGGCACTCACTCTAGCCTGGGCAACAGAGTGAGACTCTGTCTCAAAAAAAAAAAAAGAAAAAAAAAAAAAAAAGAAAACCAGTACTACCAAATATTTAATTTATAAGTGAGAGAAATTGTACCATTAAAAATAATTTTAGATGAGAAATTACCATAACATATATTGTAAATGCATTACTACTCACATGCAAAAAGTTTACAAAAGTGTCCTTGCACCACTGAAAGTGACACCACTGTCCAATGTGCTGCTGCAAATCTTGTTAGTGATCGAAGACAGTCATCCTAAAATAAAAAATTGAAACAATTAACAGAGAAGCCAACATATGAAAGTACTCTTTTCTTTCAGGAGTGCTAGTTCAAAATACAGCTGGATGCACAAATGAAATCTCTCTAGATGGTATGGAACTGAATCTATAGTGCAAATGGTGGTGGTTTTAGTGGTCACAATAAGATATAGCTGAACTTTATTAGGGATAATTGCTCTAAGCTCTTTTTTTTTTTTTTTTTTTCTGGCTGAAGGATAACTTATATTACTTTTTTTTTTTTTTTTTTTGAGACAGAGTCTCACTTTGTTGCCTAGGCTAGAGTGAAGTGCCATGGCGTCAGCCTAGCTCACAGCAACCTAAAACTCCTGGCTCAAGCAATCTTTCCGCCTCAGCCTCCAAGTAGCTGGGACTACAGGCAGGCGCCACCATGCCGGCTAATTTTTTTAATATATATCAGTTGGCCAATTAATTTCTTTCTATTTATAGTAGAGACGGGGTCTCGCTCTTGCTCAGGCTGGTTTCGAACTCCTGACCTCGAGCAATCCGCCCCTCAGCCTCCAGAGAGCTAGGATTACAGGCGTGAGCCACCGCGCCCGGCTTTATATTACTTTTATGTACAGGAGACAACAGTGTACATTTAGCCCAGTTTGGTGGCAAGTTCTTTTGCCTTTGCCTTTTCCAGCTTGGCGATGCGAGCCACAGATTTGGGACCCAGGACGTTGCCTCCCCAGTGATGGACGGATCTCGTCGTATCTGTCGTTGTAGTTGGTCCTGATGGCTTCCACCAGCTTGGCCAGAGCTCCTTTGTCTTCCGAGTTAACCTGCGTGAAGGCGACAGTGGTGCAGGTCTTCCTGTGGACCAGACGCCCCAGCCTGGCCTTCCCCTTGATAATGCAGTAAGGGACCCCCATCTTCCGACATAGCGCAGGCAGGAAGACAACCAGCTCGATGGGATCCACGTCATGTGCGATCACCACCAGCTGAGCCTTCTTGTTCTCCACCAAGGTGGTGACAGTGTTGACCCCTGCTGCGAAGGACAGGTGGCCTCTTAGTGGGGACATCCCCTTTGCCGGCAGCTTTCTTCTCAGCCCGGGCCAACAGCCGCTGCTCTTCTTTGCTTCTTTGCTTCTCTGCTCTGGTCTGTACTTGTGGGCCAGCTTAAGCAGCTGAGTAGCTGTTTGGCGGTCCAAGGCCTGGGTGAACTGGTTAATGGCAGGAGGCACTTTCAGCCGCTTGTAGAGGATAGCTCTCTGCCTCTGCAAGCGGATGTAGCGGGGCCATTTGACAAAGCGGGTGAGGTCCCTCTTGGGCTGGATGTCCTGTCCAATGCCAAAGTTCTTCGGCCTCTTCTCGAACAGGGGGTTCACCACCTTTTTGGCCTCCTGCTTCTTCACCACGGCGGGGGCCGGGGCCACCTTCTTACCCTTGGCCTTCTTTCCCTTCGGGATGTTGGCTGGCTGGAGCAGAAAGCTGCTCTCTAAGCTCTTTATACGGATTAACCCAGGGGTCCTCAAACTTTTTATACAGGGGGCCAGTTCACTGTCCCTCAGACCGTTGGAGTGTGTGCACTGTGGGCCCTGGACTAGTCGGCTGCTAAGCAGGACAGGCAGCGGTGGCAAGAACACCCAGAGGGCCAGATAAATGTGCTAGGCGACTGGCATGTGGCCCGAGGGCCATAGTTTGAGGACACCTGGATTAAACCATTAAGTTTTGACATAGCCATATGAAGTAGGTACTAACCAACTTAAAGGTACAGAATCTGAGGGCCAGCACTTGGGGCTGTGGGGTGTAGTGGTGCACTCTGTATTCCGTGCAAAGGGACCCAGCTGAGGTGGAGCTGAAATTTGGCTTTTTTATTAAGAACACCCACTGTTTACCAGCTGTGTTCTGGCACCAAGCTGCACCTGCTCAGAAGAGGTACCTTTCCCTGAATCATAAAAAGAGGCTGTTTGCTTCTAAGTAATGGGACCACAGGGCTGTAAGTACCCAGATTTTCTAAAATGCACAGAAGCACTATATGGGCCAGCAACAGCCATTATGTTGCTGGTGGTGTTGTTATTGTTTTTTAAATCTCTTTGTAGGTTAAAAGCACAGAGTAGTTAAATTACTGACCTCAGTCACAAAGGAAACTAAGAGATGGAGAATGTCTAGACAACTTGGTCAAGTTTCTCAACTAGGTTCCTTAATATTTTCTTTTTGAGGTTACTCATAAAGGAATTGTACTCAGAAATGGTAAGAATAGTATCATATGATTAACTCTTCTCATCTGTCTCTATCAAATCTAAGGTAAAGTTATGTAGTACAATAAAGAGAACTCCAAACAAACTGCAAAACTCACCAATAAATGAAACATGTCAATATCCAATATGCATGGAAGGTCTTCATGGCTGTTATTAGGCACCAATGCTAAAGATTTAGAGGAAAATACATTAGCACATTTCATATACCAACATAGCTTAAAATGCATATAATCTTGTTTAAATTTATAAGCTAAACTTTATACATAAGAAAACCAAGCCGGGCGCGGTGGCTCACGCCTGTAATCCTAGCTCTCTGGGAGGCTGAGGCGGGTGGATTGCTCAAGGTCTGGAGTTTGAAACCAGCCTGAGGAAGAGCGAGACCCCGTCTCTACTACAAATAGAAAGAAATTAATTGGCCAACTAATATATATAGAAAAATTAGCCGGGCATGGTGGTGCATGCCTGTAGTCCCAGCTACATGGAGGCTGAGGCAGGAGGATTGCTTGAGCCCACGAGTTTGAAGTTGCCGTGAGCTAGACTGATACCATGGCACTCACTCTAGCCTGGGCAACAGAGTGAGACTCTGTCTCAAAAAAAAAAAAAAAAAAGAAAAAGAAAAAAGAAAACCAGTACTACCAAATATTTAATTTATAAGTGAGAGAAATTGTACCATTAAAAATAATTTTAGATGAGAAATTACCATAACATATATTGTAAATGCATTACTACTCACATGCAAAAAGTTTACAAAAGTGTCCTTGCACCACTGAAAGTGACACCACTGTCCAATGTGCTGCTGCAAATCTTGTTAGTGATCGAAGACAGTCATCCTAAAATAAAAAAATTGAAACAATTAACAGAGAAGCCAACATATGAAGTAGCTCTTTTCTTTCAGGAGTGCTAGTTCAAAATACAGCTGGATGCACAATGAAATCTCTCTAGATGGTATGGAACTGAATCTATAACATCTTACTGACATGTCTCTAACAAAGAATAAATGGAATGGGAAATATTTAATTGTATACTGAGTAAGCGAAAGCTATCTCCTTGCTATCATGTTGCTGGTTCTCCAGAAAAGATGTGCATTAGACAGAGAGTAAGCAACAGACACCCTCAAGAAGCTGATGTAGTATTTCTTTAATATGTATTCTAAAGAGATAACCTAACATGTAGGAAATGCTCCAAATATTGGGGAAACTATATGCAAGAAGACAAATGTGCAAATTAGTGTTTGTACAGCAATTAACAACTGTCATGAGAACTAAATAGCAATAATGAGCGCGCTGAATACTAACCACTAGATCACCAGGGAAGACATAAAATAGCAATAATGAGAAAACTCTTGATTTAAAGTACAGAATACAATAGAAACAAGGCCAGGTGTGGTGGCTCATGCTTGTAATCCTAGCACTCTAGGAGGCCGAGGTGGGTGGATCGTTTGAGCTCAGGAATTCAAGACCAGCCTGAGCAAGAGTAAGATCCTGTCTCTACTAAAAATAGAAAGAAATTAGCTGGACAATATAGAAAAAATTGGCATGGTGGCGTATGCCTGTAGTCCCAGTGACTTGGGAGGCTGAGGGAGAAGGACTGCTTAAGCACAGGAGTTTGAGGTTGCTGTGAGCTAGGCTGACACCATGGCATTCCAACCCTGGGCAATAGAGTGAGACTCTGCCTTAAAAAATAAATAAATAAAAAACAATACAAACAAAGCTACATGTGAATACCAATTATAAACAAGTATAAATATGTAAACAAAAAAAGATGGACAGGTGATAAGTTGATGAGATTTTTCTTCCTGCTTATTTTCCAAATTTTCTGTAATACTGTTTGGTATAATAAACACTGAGGTCTTTAATCTACACTAAGTTTTGGCTTTGAAGATCTTCAAATGAAAACTCACTTTCCCTCCTCCTGCTCTCCAAGAGCTTAAAGCTGAGGGTGGGAGGGTGAGGAGGAGAAGAAAAGGGAGAAGGAGACAATTGAAGGAGTAGGCATCAAGATGAGAGCCATCTCACTCATAGCACATGGCTCAGAGTGGTTTCCCAGGGAAGGTAAAGCTTGAAGAGCATTTTGAGTAGCAATCTACTTAGGGTACTCTAGGCAGAGGAAATGGAATATGCAAAGGTTTGGGAACTAGCATTTAGGAAATGGTAGTGACTCTTCAAGTCTGGACCATGAGTGTGGGGACTGGCAGGAAGTAATAACAGAGAAATAGGTTAAGGAATTTATACAAGAAGCACAATCGAGACTGTATTTTTTAGGAACTTCTCTGATGTATTAGAGAAGGGTGAGATTCAGGGTAGAGATTGCTACAATAATATAGGCAAGAAATGACATGGGCTGAACCAAACAAGTAGAAGTAGGAATGGAAAGGATTCAACAGACTCTGATGACCAAGTGGATGTGAATACCCAGGCCAAATGACATGGACATATCCAAAAAGACTTTAATTTTCTGCCTTGGTCACCTGGATGAACAGTGGTGAAGATGCCAACCAAAAAAGGGGATATAAGAAAAATTAATTTTTTTTCTTTAAGAGATGGCTTGCTCTGTTGCCCAGGCTACAGTGCAGTGGTACAGTCATAGCTTACTGCAGCCTTGAACACTTGGGCTCAAGCGATCTTTCTGCCTTAGCCTTCCAAGTAGCTGGGATAACAGGTTCATGTCACCATACCTGGCTAATTTTTTCACTTTTTTTAAAAGAGATGGAGGTGAGGGGGGGTGGGGAGGAGGGGTGTTCTCCATATGCTGCCCAGGCTGGTCAAGAAATCCTGGCCTCAAGCAATCCTCCCGGCTTAGATTCTGAAGTAGCTGGGATTACAGGTGTGAGCCACTGTGCCTGGCTAGAAAAATTAATTTGGGTTGTTGAATCTCAGGGCCCTTTGGGAGGTCCAAGTGAAAAACAAAGCAGGCAAAGTGATAAAGGTTCTGGGCCTGAGATAAAGGTCAGGTTGGAGATATACAAGTGGGAATCATTTGGATATAACTAAAATCAGAGACAGATGGGGCTGACCCAGGGAAGACTGCCAGGTGACTGACTGAGGGACCTAGGCAGAACTCTGGGGGTTTAAAACAACAATTACAGGATGAAGGAGGGAGACAGACTGAATAGGAGCAGCCAGAGTAGAGGAAAGAAAGCTAGGAGTGTCACTGAAATCAAAAGGAAAAAATGAGTTTCAGAAGAAAGCAGTTATTAACAGAATTAAGTAAATAGAGATGTCAAATAGACAAGGGCTGAAAAATGCCACCCAAAATGACAATCAGGAGATCACTGGTGAACTTGGCAAAACTTTCCTAAAAGTAAAAAAGTAATAGGAGTTGAGTAAAACTGCAGGGAGTTGAAATGTAAATGGTTAGCAAGAAACTGGAGCCAGCATATACATTATTCTTTAAAGACATTTTGCTGTGTATAAAATTACATACAGGCCAGGTGTGGTGGCTCACACATGTTATCTCAGCACTTTGGGAGGCCAAGGTGGGAGGATCTCTTGAGGCCAGGAGTTTCAGACCAGCCTGAACAACATAGTGAGACCCCGTCTCTATAAAAAACAGAAAAATTAGCCAAGTGCGGTGGAGCATGCCTGTAGTCCCAGCTGAGGCAGGGGCAGGATTGCTTGAGGAGAGGCTGAGGCAGGAGGATTTCTTGAGCCCAGAAGTTTGAGGATGCAGTAAGCTATGATGCCACTGCTCTCTATGCAACAGATTAAGATACTGTCTCAAAAAAACCAAAAAATAAAATGAAACACACACACATTCTCTCTGGAAGAATATGAAACCAAACAAAAAACTGCAGGTGCTATTTGTTTTTTAAAAATCTATATTTACACCACATGGATTATCTGTTAATTAAAATTAAATATGCTTTAAAATAGCTTAGTCAAAAAAGGGAAGGAAAGCTGTGGAACTAGATTGAAGGAAGATAACACTGAGGGCAAGAATAAAAGGAGGGAAAATAGAGCACACTTGTCTACAGAGGAAGTGCCAGTAGATAAGGAAGGAAGAGAAGGCACATCTTATGGAGGAGAGGAATTCCAGATAATAAGGGAAAGTCTAAACCAGCTTTACCTGGGGCCCCTTATCCTCTGATACAGGAGAGAAAAATGAGATGTACATAAATTTTAAGAGTGGAGTGAAGAAATTAGATGTAGTTCACCCCAATAGCTACATACTTATGAACTCTCATTTATCATAGCAAAAAATATCCTCGTCAGCACTGATCTGAGAGTCATATACTAATATCACAGTCAAGACTGATGTGAATTGGCATTCTACTGATTTACTATAAAGATACAATTCAAGCCCTACTCCTAGATATTCAGTGCACTAAATCCGAAGGGTCCCAGGTATTTGTATTTTTAAAAAGCTCCATGGAGGATTTTAATGTACAACTCCCAGCCAAGAACCTATGATACAGAATCTAATTTCTAAAACAATAAAAAAAGGGGTCCTGAGTTTCCAGGTGTTTGCAATAAAAACATAAGTCAGCAAAGTAGGTGATAAGTGATCACTTGTAACTATTTTCTATACTGGTTTTTGTTTCTTAGGTCCTTAGATCGGTGGTTCTCAATACTGGTTCCTGGGAAGCTTTTATAAAATATTAATGCCCGAGGCCCATCTCTAGAAAACACACTGACTTAATTGACCTGTAATAGGGCCTGGGCATTTTAGAAAAAGTCCCCAGGTGATTCTACATGAATAAAATCAGATGATTTTACTCTCAAAGTCACTTTTATGATTGAAAGCTTGAATATCAGGTGGTATAAATACTGACAGACACTAGCACACAGTAAAAATTAGCAAGCCTTGACTGTATGCTCCTTCCCCATTTTCCTAGGCATTAAATGTACTTAGTTTGACATAAATTTGTATTTATATGTTGCTTTTAAAAAGTGGTCAAATGTTTGTTTTTTATATTTCCAATTGTAACATTAAAAATTCAAGGACAAACACTGTGCTTTTAGTTTTTTCCATCTTTTCAAGTGCTTAAGCAAGAGTTCTGGATGAAATGAGAGGTATAGTTATTTCCTGAAGTCTATTTAAAAGAAAAATTAAGCTGGGTGCAGTGGCATGCGCCTACAGTTCCAGCTACTTGGGACCCTGACTTGGGTGGTAGGATCTCTTAAGCCCTAGAGGCCAGCCTGGGCAACACAGTGAGACCCTGTCTCTTAAAAAACAAACACAAACACAAAAACAAAAACAAAATAAAAAAGAGAAAAATGAAAAAAATCAAACCACAAACATTACTTCTTTGATATCTTTACAGAAAATGGGTCTTGCTATGAAAGAAGTGAACATAGGGCTAAATAACTATCTCAGGTTTTTAAGATTTAAAAGAAGCAGAACTACCTAATTTCCATTCCATCTTTTCATGAATTAAGTAAACCAAGAACTTACCAGTCTACAAGGCAAAGGACCAAACAACGGTTTATCTTCATCACTCAAAATTCTTTCTGCAAGTTAAAAATGGTTAAGATGATAGATTTTAAGTTCTGTAGATTTTAGCATAATTTCAAAAAAGGTAAAAAAGACAATTCTTTCTCCAGAAAGCACAATATTGGCAGGTTTCAGAATCTTTTAAGTCATTTCATAAGAATCATTTTTGGATGAAAACTAAAAATGAATACATATTTCCTCAACTGACAAGCTATAACCACTACCAAAATGATTTCTCTGTTGGCTGTGGTTAATTTATACACTGTCAATCTAGTATTTTGTTACTATACTAAGTCTTTTTATTATTTCTTCATGTTGTTGCCCATGCTAAACATTCCCTTTAAGAAAAATTCTACACATAATTCATATCAATGTATGCTTTTGACTTATAGAGGGACAACTGTCAATCTCTTACCTATGCTCTGGATGGTGTACGCACAACTACCCCAACACATTATGGGCACACGGGGATCATCTTCATTGGGATGAACCTTTAGTCCCACCTTATAAGTAGCAGTTCCAAATGTTGTTAGCATTTCTTTTATGCTCTCAGAATAAGGGTTCCTGAAGTGAATATATATAAAATAACATCAAAACAATGTATACACATCATTCAAATGGTTTAGTTTCTTAACAGCTTTTTGCCTTATTAAAATTGAACCACTTGAGCCGGGCTCAGTGACTTGTGCCTGTAGAATCCTTTAGTTGGGTGTAGTGGCATGTACCTATAGTCCCAGCTACTTTGGAAGGCTGAGGCGGGAGGATCACTTGAGCCCAAAAGTTGAGACCAGCTTGTGCAATATATGCAGACTCCATCCCTTTCTCCTCCAAAATAAATAAATAAAATTGAACCACTTAATAAGTATCCAGAGACAATTGTATGCAAAGGGATAATTCGAGATATGCAAACTATCCCTGCCTGAGAGGAATTGTGCTCTTTGCTTTAGCAGGGGTGAGGCATTGGGCTAAAAACAGAATATTAGGCAAAAGTCTACATACTAAACTGTGAGTCCCTTCACCCTCTTTCCCATCTTGAGAACCTCAGCAATGTACACTCACAGCCATAGAGATTAGTTTTTCCAGTGAAGAATCCTCAGGGGAAAGTCATTCTATACACTGACATTTAGGGGTTCCCAAGTAAAAGACTGGTGGTGTCCTGGTCACCTTACTCTGAGGCTCACAGGTCAGCAAGCTCCAACCTGCCCACCAAGTACCTAACGAGTTTCTCAGTGTCTTATTCTTAGTTACCCAAGGACCAATTAATAAACATTTAAGGAAAGCGTCAAAGAGATAAGTCAAAACAAACAAGTAGAAAAAAAGAACTCAGGGAAAATAGAGATAGTGTAGAAAGCAGAAAACTTGTAAGAAAATTAGAGGATCAGTCTAACGGGTGCCACTATTAGCTCACTGTTGGCCCTATCTCAAAAAACAAAATCCAAGAGGAGAAAATTATCTAAGAATCAATATGAAAAATTATTAGAACTGAAGGACATGAATCTTCAGATTCAAAGATTTTATTGAAAATCTAGCAAAATGAATGGAAAAAAAGATTCATATACCAAAGTTTATCAAAGAAAAATTTTAGAATAAAGAGAAGATTTGTACAGTGTTCAGAAGTAATAAAGTTACAAAGGAGCTGGGTGGAGTAGATCATGCCTATAGTCCCAGCTACTTGGGAGGCTGAGGCAGGAGGATCACTTGAGTCCAGGAATTCCATGCCAGCCTGGGCAATTTAGTGAGACTATGTCTCTAAAAAAAAAAAAATAAATAATAATAATAAAATCTTTTTTTTAAAAAGTTATAAAAAACGAATCAGAATGGCATTAATTTCTCAATGGATATTAGAAGGTAGTAAAATAATGCCTTCAAAATCTAGATTAAAAATTATTTTTTAAAAATTTATTTTGAGACAGGGTCTCGCTCTCTCATCCAGGCCAGAGTGCAGTGGCATCATCATAGCTCACTGTAACCTCAAACACCCTGAACTCAAGTGATCTTCCTGCCTCAGCTTCCCAAGTAGCCGGGACTATAGGTGTGTGCCACCATACCTGGCTAATTTTTATATTTTCTCTGGAGATAGGGTCTTGCTATGTTGCTCAGGCTGGTCTCAAACTCTTGGTCTCAAGCAATCCTCCCATCTCAGTCTCCCAAAGTTTAGGATTATAGGGGTGAGCCATCACACTCAGCTAAAAAATTACTTCTAACCTAGAATTCTATACACGAACTATCAATCGAGCAAATGGACACAAACATACTTTCAAACATGAAAATGTAACATTTCAGGTATCCTTTCTTAAGAGTCTGAAGGATGCACTGATGCAAAAGAGGGAGTAATTAAGAGAAAGGAAGATACTCAATCCAGAAAACAAGAGAAGCATGGCCAAGGAAAGTCTCAGAGTGACAGCTGTTCCCTATGCTGATTGGTGCAGGAGGACAGAAGCTGTGTGGGAGAAGGAAGGCATCTGATAGGTCTGAGCTCCTGGAAAAGTTATTGCTAGGTATTAGACAGATATATTGCACTATTAGAAAAAAACCAAACAGACATAAAAAACTAAGTACAAGAAAAAGACAAGGTAATTATCACAGGAAAGACAAAATAATACAAGAAAGGAAATGTAATTTTAATATGCAATTTATATTAATAGAAACAGTTATTAAAATGTAAAAACTGACAACTGATTTAAATAAAAATTGTGAGATAATTTATTAGTCAACAGAAAGATACTGTTTAATTAGAAATATGGAAGTAAATACTAGAAAAGACAAAGTGACAGTACTGAGGGTATGGAGGTGGATGTGGGAGGCAGAGGACTGATGCTTTTCTATTTAAGCCTTCCAGTTTTACATGTGAGTTATTTAGTGCATGCCAGGGAAAGCTTCCAGGTAGCTCTACATGTATGTCACTTTATCCTAACAAACCTATGAGTTAACCTCACTTAACAGATGAGGGAACTGAGGTACCGGGAAGTGAAGCAATTTGCTCAAAGTTGCACAGCTAATAAGTAGCAGTGGTGGGAACTGAATCATTCAGTCTAGCTCTAGAATCTATGCTATGCTTTGTAACTAATTTGTTACAGGGTAAAATAGGGCTGAAAATACTCTAGCTTTGATCCTGGGGGGTTACTGGTGGGGCTATCAACAAAAATATGGAGTCAGATGAAAGCACAGGAAAGCTGAGCAGTTTGGATTTAGAAGTACTAAAGAGATGTCTGCAAGGCAAAGGATGACAAGGATGTTGTCAAAGATACCCTGATAAAGGTGTATGGTAAGGGTCAGCAAGGCAGACTAGGAGAGGGTAGTGAGAGTTAAACATGCCACATGGTTATTAGATTTTTTTAAATATACCTCAATAAATATTATGTAATGCTTAAACTTTAGAATTCAAGATCAATATCCTATAACGTTTTGCCTCCTAGCTTGCCAAGTCATATTCCTACTAACCACTGACATAATTTTCGATTTTAAATGGGCCAAATTTAAAAGGAATAAAGTAATATACTCACTTAGGATGAAAATCAGGCCTGAACCCTTCAGGGAGCTGTAATTCATCCATATTTTCTGAATTCTCTGAAGAAGCAGTATCTAGAGAAACAGCCATTTTATATCAGCATTAAACAGATAATAAATAGTATTTCTATAAATTTTAGTAATGCAGGTCAAAGAAACTAAAAAAAACAGGAAAAAAATTCCCATTAATAAAAACTGGCATAATACTCATACAAAACATGAAAAACACTATTGTTCTGGTAGAGCACTTTCTTCAGTTACCTATGCTTTTCCTCATACTATAGTCACTAGATCAAAAGACAGAGTATGCTATTACGTTTCTATGAAAACCAATGATATAAATCCTGCTCATATTGCTTTCGCACAAGGTCATAAGTATATGCATGGTCTATGAAACCTGGGAAGCCTTTGTTAATAATGCCAATAATAATGTGAGTTAGCCCACTGAGACCTAAGTGCTCAGTGCTAAGCTACATCTCTCACCATCCCCTAGAAACTTCAATAAAATGGGAGAATAAGTGAATATTTATTATAAACTTCTCATAAGCTTGTGTGTTTTCAAGGAATAGGAGGAATGTAGTACAGTAAAATTTAGATTAAGAGAATTAGAATGAGTCAAATTTTTAAATGGGAGGTTTTACTTTTAAATAATTTCTTCTGAAAATATATTTTGCAATGATCACAGACTTCAGGGAAAAATGAAAAGAGGTTATCAGAACTTACTAGAAGTACCTTCTTCTTTCCTAAGTAACTTTAAAGCTTGTACTTGCTGAGATATTATTCTAATCCACTGAGTCAGATTTGGTTGTTCTGAAAAATTTAACCTGCTAGAAAAGATTACAGAAAATGTTTAGTATGTTATTGTTACTGCTTAATTTAAAATACAAAAGACTTCTTACATGATCACAGGCATAATGTTTTAGATCCACTCCAAATATCAAAAACAAAAAAGGCTAGGGGAAAATTTGTTGCATTAAAAAAAACTCAGAATAGATACTAGCCAATGGAAATGAAAATATATTATTTTCAACATGATGCTAATAACATTGTTAAAAAGTTCACTTCTTTCAAAGTACAAATTCAATCTAATAGCACAATCTCCACCACCACTAATATTTATCAAAGTCTATATGTTACAGTACATGAGTAAATTTACAACCTAATAAATAGATCATGCTTTAACATAAAAGAATACAGTGCCAGCGTGGGCTCCACCCTGTATCCTACACTCGGGACCACGGAATTGCTGAGGTCGGATTCGAAAAACCAAAAGCCGACAAAGGAACCCCGCCCAAACATAAATAAGAATATAATTCCAACCAAAATATAGAAAAAAAATTACCGGAGTGCCATCCTGATCCAGCACTTGGAAGCGGCACAATGCTTGACCAGAGTTTGGGATTCGGAGCTAGGCATGCCACGCACCACCTCGCCGGGCAACAAAGTAACTCTTCCAAAAAAAAAAAAAAAAAAGCAGACCTATCCAACACCTCTATTCATATTTTAAGAACATTTTATTTTAATAGTAGCATAAACTAAGACATCAACTTGAACCCAAAATAAAGAAAAACGACTTGCTTGAATAATCTAAAAGCATGAAAAGTTATATTTATAAAATTAATATATCTGCATGAGTAAAAATAGTTATACACTAAAAATGAAGCAAGCCGGCGGTGCTCACCTGTATCTATCCAGGAGGCCGAGCCAGCGCGACTGCTCGATCAGGTTCGAAACCAGCCGACCAAGAACCAGACCGTCCCTACTAAAAGTAGAAAGAAATAATGGCCAACTATATAAGGTAAAGAATTACCGTGCAATTGGCAACATCCGTATCCCACTACTGGAGCGAGCAAAGATTGCTGACCCAGATTTAGTCGCTGGAGCAGGCGACGCACGGCACTCACTCTAGCCTGGCACACAAGTAAGACTACCAAAAAAAAAAAAAGAAATCACATTCAATTGAAAGTAGAAAGTACAAATTCATATTGAAAGAAGTTCAATACTCCTTTTATTAATTATCCTAAAAATTATAGGATTCCATTCTAAACATACCAAGAGATTTTCATTTTTTAGCCTGATTTTTAAAGCTATTGTTGACCAGTAAATTGCAAAAAATTGTATTCAATAAAGTCAGTTTGAGCTGCCTCATATCCCCTGTGAGTTTACTGAGGATCTCTTGAAGAGTATGATGGAAGATATTTACAGTAGGGTCCCTAGAAATAAAGAAGATACTTAGTTTTCATGAATACACAGGAAATTTTTAGCTGCTAAAGTATTTATGACTAAGAAACTGTTAAATTTTTACCTGTTCCTAAAAACCAAAATCATATTTCTACAGGTCTGCTAGAAGAAATGACTAAATAAAACGTTTGGAAAAGTATATGGTTTCAAACATTATGCAATTACCTATAGTGAGCTCCTTCCCCTGGTTTATTATTTCTTTATCTTCAAAGCCAAAACTTACCTGTTGAAAATATTTCTTGGAGGAAGCAGCAGAGGAATAACAGTATTACTCAAGCATTCACAAAGGGGGCAAAGGAATTCTCCATTTTCTACATCATAGCTCGTATGTAAGCGTAATCTCTGTTGCCTTCGTTGTTCTTTAGCTTGAACGGAATCAAAATACCTTTACAATGAGAGAACATGAGGTATCAAAAAACAATGGCGATTTATTTCGATGAAAGTCACAAACTTCAACATTTGAAATAATTTGTTTCCACAAATAGTTCAAAAATGAAAATCTTAAAATGAATGGAATTATTTTTAATACAATTTTTGAGTTATTTTAATAATCAAAACAGATTAAGAATTCTCAAACAAGCAGAAAAAAAAGACTGCCTCGCAAACAAGCATTCACAAAGCAGCAAAAGAAATTTCTTGGTGCCACTGCTGTCTGGCCACTTCCCCAGTGCTGGTGGCTACTTGTAAGGGGCAGTTGATGGTAACTCAGTGCACATGGTAACTACTGACTTGTTGGTTTTGCAGAAACATAGAAAGCACCAAGGTAGAACAAGTTTAGGATTTTCCCATCTTATCACAGGGAAATGTTACAATTTTGGGAGGTAACAAAGCAAGTACTAACACCTTCAGAATTAAGAGTTGTTCACCTTGAACCCAAAGAAAGACATTACCCTTCTAGGGTTTATACCACTGTAAAAACTCTTTTTCATCCACTTTGTTAGCTAATACAGATCCACTTCCTTCTTTGAAGGGATAAAGAAGAGACTTTGACATTAAGCTACATTAAAAAATGTATTTGTCATACTATGAAGTTTCTAAGTTACTCCTTTACATCTATGACAAAGCAAACCATTTTTGTCATTAGGGAATGATATGCAGTTTTTCGTCAACATTTTTAGTTCTTTTTCCTTTTTGCTAGAATGGAATTTCCTCTATTTAAAAAATTCAGTTTTGAGCCTTCCTATAAGCTTCTCTGGACTAATATTAAGAATATAAATTACCTTTGCCAACAATGGGCATGCATAATATGCCCACAGCTACCAGTGTGTGTTCCGCAAGACAGATCTGGGTGCGTGAATAATGGATCATATTTTTCTGCATTACAAAACAAACAAAAAACAAAACAAAAAAACCCAAGCATTTAATTTTCCTATAATAAATATGAAACTTTAAATTGTAAAATCCTTGATAAGGACTTGTAAACTTGAAATGAAATGAAATACTAGTTTACTCCTTTCATTTGAGATACCAATAATTTATGCAAGAACCTAGATTATTTAGAAAGCAGGATTCCTTAATGTTCATCATTCTAAGGAAATTAATTAAACATCCCTGAATTGTAAACTGAAATTGGAACTCTGTATTTAAGTATATCTAATCTTTTAAACATTTCATACTTCCAGGGCACTGTGAGATTCCAATTCCCTCCATTCATGCCCTAAGCTCAAGGTAAAAGGGATAGTCTTCATGGGACTGAGTTATATACACTCAGGGCAGCTGGGTCACAGTGATCTCTAATAAAAAAGATGCTTTGGGTGCCCCCTAGAGGAGAGTATGCCTAAAGACACTCATGTAGTGAATAACCATAACCACTGTATCAGAGCCAAAGTGACAAAGAAAAATGTAAGCCCACACCAGATTAGATGAGAAAAAATGTAATTCAGTCTTTTGTTCTGGTGCTAATTTTTATATTCAAAGGAAATGAAAAATGAAGACAAACAAGACAGATGCCTGGCTTCTTTTGGAATTTTTTTGACTTCTCTATATAAATTGGCATAATCTTGGAAATTTCTTAACATTTTAGAAAGAATTACTCAAGTTTCAATTTGCTTTATGTACTAGAACAGTGCCAATGTCACAGCTTTATAAAGAAAATATTTTATATGATATAAATTGCAAAAGCATTTGGAAAATCCACTTACAGCCAGCCAAAGTTTTTTCTTTGGGAAGTAACAAATTAAATAAAATTAGTAATTTCATCTTTGTCCTGGAATGAAATTTATAAAGCACCTAGTTCAAATGACCATTTTTAAAGATGAAACAGACGAATCTTTCAAAACCTAGGGTGCTTGAGAGCCACAGTATGAAGACTTTCCTTATTGAGAGAAGGCAACCCTATCTGTGAGCTCTCAAACTCGCTTTCAATCCTGCATGAAAGGCAGTGGCTAAAGCAGTGCTCTGGAAATTCCTAAGACACAGTTCCTACTCTCAAGAAGTTTACTATAAATAGATACCATTGAGGCATATGCACACAGAACATATGTTTAAGGGTAAGAAACATAAAGGTATCTGTGGTGGACAAAATAATGTGCAGTCCAGACCTCCCTGCAGGAACAAATGACTTACTCCCCCTCAGCTGTTGAAAGGGAGCCCTCAAAACTGTCATCCCTATTTGAGGAAAAATTGCCTTATTCAACGTCATACCTATTTTAAAGGTGGCCCACCACCAGTTGCTACTCAGTATCAGGCTATAAAACCCAGCTCTCTCATACCAATTCAAGATAGTTCTGAAGGGCCATCCAGCTTCAGAGCTCCCATTGAGTTGGCTGAGAACTTTTGGGGACTGTATTATAGTTCAACTTCTCCTTTTGCCCAAATCTGTTTTCTTTCCCTCCTTTCCACAGACGTTGACCCCAATGCTCTTCCCCTAAATGTCCTCAACAGTGATCTCTATCTCATGAATCTGCTTTCTGGGGAACCCTACCTATGGGAGTATCACTATTCTAAGCCAGAATTTGGATCAAGGACTGCTTCTTACATAGGTAACTCTCAGCACTATTTTCAAGAGATTCCACTCTGACTCTATCCATGAGAAAATAATTATTGTTATTTCAGTGTGTCAACAAATTAGGAGGACTTTACAAATGTGTTGAAGGACAGAAAAGACTCTTAAGTACCAAAGTATATTAATGTCACATCACAAAGAAAAACTTATCTTGAATGCATGCTATTGATCAGCTATGTGATTCAGGGATGATAACCTTTTGGAGTGGTCCCACATGGGTCAAGTGGGGAATTCCTGCCTAAGATACTACCAAGCCTATAGAGTTATTATTATTATTTATTTTTTTCCAGCATATTATGGGGGTACAAATGTTAAGGTTACGTATATTGCTCCTAACTCCTATACCCCCTTAGAATTATTATTAGATTAATAAAATCTCCACATATGTCACCAACCACACTAAACTGGCAGCCATTATCAATAGAGAGTATGAGGATCTAGCTATGACTTACCTGGATCCTGAATGAATTTACTTCTGTTTTTTGATAATACAGTTGATCTTTGAACAAATGCTGCCAAGACCATTGCTTTGCTTTCCACTTTAACTTCTTGCTCCTCTTGACACAATATACAGGTAACAAATTGTCTCTGTTCAGGGACCTGAGTTTGTGCAGGGCCCAATGCTGTAAGTGCCATATCTGAAACCATAGGGCTGTAATAAAAGGGTTATGAATATAATTAATGAGCCTAAAAAATCTCTATGTAATCATAAAGTAGTAGACTCCAGGTATGTACATATTAACACGTGGTTTCAATGACTTGAATCGCCAAGTTTTTTCATATATATCAAAACCATCTCTCTTAATCATCACAGCAATCTAATTTGCAACACAGATTCCACACACTCAGGTAACAGCCTTGTGTACTCATTCTTTTGTGGATATCAAGGGTTTTCTGTAGAAAATATTGTATTAGGTGTACGCATGAATTACTTTATCAGTCAGATATTTCTAAGATTAATTCCTCTAATTGGAGGCCACAATTTTTACCTATCAATTCTACTAAATTACTTTAGGATTAAAAGTGTACTTATAAGGAAAAAAAGCAACACCACCCCTGGTTGAGAATGACTGATCAAGAGACTAAATAACTTGGTTTAAAAATTTTTTTTTTACCTATTATCTAGAACTGCAGAGGTTGAGGCATCCAGTTCTAATGTCTGCTGAAAGAGTTCCTTGTTCTCATCAATGAAGTGCCGCTGCATCTCAGACATCTGGGCCATGATCTTTTCTCTGCGCAGTCTGGCAATCTCAGCTTTTCTCTTCCTTTCAGCTTTGTCTTTGTCTCTTGAACTCTGAAATTATGCTTCATTCAATTAGACCATTAGATGCTAAATGCACATTTTTTTTTCCAAAGCAGAAATATCTTTAACATAAATTCTAATTAAAAACTATTCTACAATCTCAGTTATTTAAAGAGATATGACTCAATCAACTTAACATGTTAAAAAAAACAAAGACCAAAAAAATTGTTACAACAAATAGTGCTGCATTTCTTGGAGTTCAAATATTTGTGAATACTACCAACTACCAACTTGTTGCAGATAACTTTAATTTGTTTATACTGAACTTGCTACAATTTTTTGGTATTATTACACTTTACTTCTTATACCTCTTCCATTATGGTTCCTTCTGCCTCTGCCACAGGACTTGTAGACGAACTCTCCCTTATCTTCTTAATAGCATTAAAAGTCTACAAAAAAAAAAAAGTTATCCTGAGGCTATGAAACATTATCACAATATATAACATATATTTTATGTTTCTCACAAAAAGCAGAGTAATGGGTGGGGCGTGGTGGCTCATGCCTGTAATCCTAGCATTCTGGGAGGCCAAGGAGGGAGGATTACTTCTGCTCAGGAGTTCGAGACTAGCTTGAGCAAGAGTGAGACCCCATCTCTACTATAAATAGAAAGAAATCAGCCAAACAACTAAAAATAGAAAAAATTAGCCGGGCACGGTCATGCGTGCCTGTAGTCCCAGCTACCAAGGAGGCTGAGGCAGGAGGATCGACTGAGCCCATGAGTTTGAGCTTGCTGTGAATGCCATGGCACTTCATCCCAGGCAACAGAGTGAGACTCTGTCTCAAAAAAAAAAAAAAAAAAAAAAAAAAAAAGCAGAGTAATGTAGTAAATTTTACCTTTAATATCCACCTAATCATGTCTTTGTGGACTTCTAGGTAGGGAGCATTTTGTAGTGTTTCCAGCATGGCTAGTATGCTAGCAGAGTTGTTTGGTGTTTCACCAGGTTCTAAGGCAGAAAAATAAAAGGTGTGATAATAACAGCTAATATTTCATAGTGCTTATTCCTATGCACAAGAATATAAATGCAGTTGCTTATAACATCTGTTGCCTATCATTTGATTACAGCTCTACTTAATAGAGATTTTCTTTTTCTTTTTTTTTTGAGACAGAATCTCACTCTGTTACCCAGGCTAGAGTGCCGTGGCGTCAGCCTAGCTCACAGCAACTTCAAACTCCTGGGCTCAAGCAATCCTTCTGCCTCAGCCTCCCAAGTAGCTGAGACTACAAGCATGAGCCACCATGCCCGGCTAATGTTTTCTATTTTTTAGTAGAGAGTCTTGCTCTTCCTCAGGCTGGTCTTGAACTCCTGAACGCAAACGATCTGCCCGCCTCGGCCTCCCAGAGTGCTAGGATTACAGGTGTGAGCCACCATGCCCTGCTGAGATTTTCAATACTTCTTAAGAATGTAACATATTTGTAGTTTAAAAAAAAGTTAACAACTAGAATTCTTTAAGCATTCAAAACTGACTTCTTATACCAAATGGTCATTTTCACATAAACCCTAGTAAAATTAAATAAAAACTTAGTCTTTTTTAAGACTGGGAACTGGGCACAGTGGCATGTGCCTATAATCCTAGCTACTACGGAGGCTGAGGTGGGAGGATTGCTTGAGCTGAGCCTGTGCAACACAGTGAGTCCCTGTCTGCAAAACAAACAAACAAAAAAGTGTAAAAAGATTGGCCTTCCTAAGATTTTATAAGTCTAAGGAAAATGAATGAGGATGCTGGGATTATGTGGGTTCATATGTCTATAAATATATCTATTTGCTCTGACCTTTTTTAAATAAAAGCTAGATTCAGAATGAAATAAATATCTTCCCTCTAGGAACTCACTGCTTTATTTGAAGAAAAGACATAAAATTCAAGTCCATATTTTCATGAGTACATTCAATCTACTATTAGTTGACTCCGTTTGCAGTCAGACATGTCTAATTATTGATTTTCTTCATTTAAGTGCTGCCATTGTGGCAAAACGTCCTTCCTTTCCTAAGAGGGGAAGAGACTGAACTACATGATTTTTAATTTACTTCCAGATCTAAAATTCTGTGGCTGTATATTAGGAATCTGACTCTAGATAAGGGAGAGATTTCTTTGCCAATACAGTATCTTAATTATATAAAATGTTTAAAAAGAATAAGAGTAATGTTCAGAGAAAATGATTTTTTTTTAAAGAAAAAAGAAAGAGAAAGTGAGAGAGAACCTGACATTTTAGTGATGACTGAATGAAATTAGGAGTATTCTGTGTGGCTATTCTATTAATAAAATAAAAGCACTGGGGACAAAGAAGGCAAAAAATACAACATTCTTCAGTAGGGAAAGACAGTTTTCTTCTTCCTCCCACTTACTTAGATGAGGGCAAAAGACAAACTAGAGATCTAGCAGCAAACAAGACTACTTTCTACCTGAACTCTGGCAGCAGAACCTAGTATTCTTAGTCACTATTGTTTAGGAAGAAATGGCACTGAACATAGTTACATAAATAATCTTTTTCAATCAAGGCATTCAAAAATTCCTATCATAGCCACCATAAATTCATTTAAAAACACCCAGCTGGGCATGGCGGCTCACACCTGTAATTTGGCACTTTGGGAGGCTGAGACAGGAGCATCACTTGAAGCCAGGAGTTCGCAACCAACCTGTGCAACACAGTGAGACCCTGTCTCTACAAAAAACACAAAAATTAGCCAGGCATGGTAGCATGTACCTGTAGTCCCAGTTACTCAAGAGGCTGAGGCAGGAAGATTGCTGGAGCCCAGGAATTTGAGGTTATAGTAAGTTATGATGGTGCAACTGAGTGAGACCTGTCTCACAAAAAAACAAAACCCCAACAAAACCAAAAAACACCTCAGCAAATGCAGGTCTGAGGCAGGGAAAGTACAAGATGAGTCCAGGCATCTTTTGTGCCAGAAAGTAAGGTGGTGCTCAAATATAAATAGAGCTGCAGGAAAAAGACACAGAAACTGGCAAATAATCTCCCACTGACCAAAACTGGCACAATTTGAGTATCATAAGGAATAATGATGATAACTGACTATGAAACACTAGATACATAAAAATCCATAAGTAATATTTTTAAAAAACTCTCAGCAAAAAAGATTCAAAGTTGCCAACTGCTTATTAGACCAACTGCTTATTTTGAAAATTAATAAAAGGAAAAGCTTTTCTTTATAAGGTGAAATATTATGATATCTACAACAAACAGTTTAAAAAAGCATGCAGGGTGGGCACAGTGGCTCATGCCTGTAATCCTAGCACTCTGGGAGGCCGAGGCAGGAGGATCGCTCGAGGTCAGGAGTTCGAGACTAGCCCAAACAAGAGCAAGACACCGGCTCTAATACAAAAAATTAGCCAGATAACTAAAAGGACATAGAAAAAATTAGCCAGGCATAGTGGCGCATGCCTATAGTCCCAGCTACTCAAGAGGCTGAGGCAGGAAGATTGCTTGAGTTCAGGAGTTGGAGGTTGCTGTGAGCTAGGCTGACATCACTGTATTCTAGCCTCAGCAAGAGAGGGAGACTCTGTGCCCCCCCCAAGCAAAAAAGGAAAAAAAAAAACATGTACAGCAAATGAAGGTGACTTTCAACAAGTAAATGAAGACATTTGAATCCTAGAACTGAAATTACAGAGTCTTTAAAAGTACCAGGATCCACATTGGTAGATGAAACTGATACTTCCAACCCCTGAAGGAACTTAATATTTGGTATTAAAAAAAAAAAGCATGCAAATAGAAAAGCAAATATTGCAAAATATCAACTACTGAATCTAAGTCGTAGGTATATGGATGTTTACTGTACAACTCTTTCAACTTGTCTGTTATGTTTGAAATTTTTAAAAAAGCTAGAAAAAACATCTCTCTAGCCATAAAAGTCATATTACTTTATATAAAATGATAATCTAATCCCCTATAGATAATTTTCTTATTTTTAATAGTACAAAATCTTAAGATAACAATTTAAAATTCTGATAGCATACTTTACGTTTTTAAAAGTATATCCTAGGCCGGGCGCGGTGGCTCACGCCTGTAATCCTAGCACTCTGGGAGGCCGAGGCGGGTGGATTGTTCGAGTCAGGAGTTCAAACCAGCCTGAGCAAGAGCGAGACCCTGTCTCTACTATAATAGAAAGAAATTAATTGGCCAACTAATATATATGAAAAATTAGCCGGGCATGGTGGCGCATGCCTGTAGTCCCAGCTACTTGGGAGGCTGAGGCAGAAGGATTGCTTGAGCCAGGAGTTTGAGGTTGCTGTGAGCTAGGCTGACGCCACGGCACTCACTCTAGCCTGGGCAACAAAGCGAGACTCTGTCTCAAAAAAAAAGTATATCCTAGATTTTAAATGTATATGCTGTATCAATTTTAAACTAACAACTCTTTGTTTTTTTATTGTTTATGAATTAAAACATATGTGTTTTAAGTATGTATAGGCCCTAGGTGTTTTTAGGAAAATATATTAGGATCTAACATAACACCTTTAGTACACAGATAAATACATATAGCCTCAAGTATGTGGATTCAGTATTACCCAGTTAGAATCTATATGATCAAATAAAAGAGGTTATAAGTGATTATTTATAAAAAATCACTTATATCTTGAGTTAGTTTAGTAAAAAGTATATATACATACTTGATATCTTCTGAGTGAAGGTAAACGTTACATCATGCTCTTCCACGGCATTCTCTAAATGTTGTTTTTCTTCTTGTAGTGCCATTCCAATTAAATGCAACACCTCAAATAAAATGTTTTGTAACTTTTAGTAAAAAAAAAAAAATCAAGTACATACTTTTATAAATAGCAAAAAGAAATCATTATTGAAGATAAATCAAACTTATATTAAAGACTAAATGCAATAAAAAATTCAAAGTACTAATTTTTATTAAATTAAAAGACTTGAGGTTCATTTTCTAATAAAGAATTCTTGGTGAGGAAAACAAAATTTTATATTTGAGTGAGGAAGAAAATTCAAGTGCAAATTCTTAGGATAAGCTAAAATTACCACCAGGTGTGACCAGCAATTCATATAATATATAATTTCCAGTTTTATTCTATACCTATATTACAGTCTTAAAAAAAATCTTCTAAGAATCAGTGGCCAAATAATTACAAAGCTGAAAGTATTTATCATGTAATTATCCAATCTATGATACTGCCTAGTTCAATTTCTCTAAGGACTAAATCATCTAAAAGACATACTTTTATCTTTAATGCCACATAGTTTATAAAGATATTTACAGTTGTTCAGTATATCTCACAAAATATTCCTTACCAGGCTTCTAAGAAAATATGTAATATTTTTGCATGAATATATTTGAATATATATGAAATATATGAAAATATATGAATATATTTGCATTTTTACTGCTTTTAACCTGCTCCCCACATTTTGAAGGAGATACCTGTGGTGTCTCTATATCTTTCCCTCCACAAAGGGTTGTGGTTGTCAGAGACTTGGAAGAACTAGCTTAGCCTGAATGACATAGAGCAAATGTACACATAAGGTAAATACTGTTCACTCCTCTTTTCTCCATCATTTCCCACAAATCTTTTGCTCACATAATGCTGACAGTCTCTAGTACACCACAGCTCCCTGCTTGTACCTATTAAATACGGTTATAAATGGGAGGGGGGTGTAAGTATGCACACACCTTAGCCAATGAGATACTTGAGCCTGCTGAGATAATCAGAAGAATGGTAGCTTCAGAGGAAGCCTTGCCTTCATTTGAATCCTGGCTTTATTGCTTTCAAGTTATATCCCCTCAAAGAACCCCTCTGAGCCTATGTCATCATCTTTAACATAGGAAAAAACAGCTTCCCCCTAGAGTTGAGGATTACAAATACTGTACACAAAGTGCCTAGCACAGAATAAGGCAGAGTAGGCATTCTACTAACTGAATAATTATTATTTCATTGCTTACTAGTTGAGTAACATGGGAAGTTAACTGAACCTCACTGAAACTTGGCTTCCTCATCTACACAATGGAAAAAGTTGTATCTATTCATAGAGGTGTTGTGTAAATTCAGTGAAATAATGTAAGAATGATTTACATTAAAGCTATAAAGTAAAATGCAAACAAGGTTCCAGACTTGCCACCTATTACCTATAAGACCATAAGTTCTCTGAGTCTCAAATTCTTCAACTGCAAAATATGAATATTGATGAACTCAAGTTTTTTTTGGGGGAAATAATTAAATTAAAAAGATAAATGTTATACAAATATCAGAGTACTACATATATAAAGACCAGGACCAATCAAGAAGAGACAGATTGGCCAATGGGACTGTGGTAATCACAATCATGTGGTATAAAAAATCTGCCAGGCACTTCTTTTCATTGTTAGACACAGTAACAATATACTATATTTTAAATAAATGTAACAGTGCATTTTTGTCCTGATGTTTCTGGGTACAGATGCTGACAAGAGTATTTTGCTTTTACTACAAAACACTAAAATATGAACAATAAATGTCTTTAAACTTACCCTTTGCAGCATGGACTCTGACCAGGCATATCCATTATGTCCCACAGCCCACTGCAGAATTGTTCCCATGATGCACAACATAACATCTGACTGCAAAATGTTAACCAGGCTTGCAAACAAAGGGCAGAATGGAGGCAAAACTGGAGGTGGAAGTGCTGAAAATATATTTGTTACTGGTTTCTTTTATAGAACATACTTAAAAAAAAAATCCCTTTGTTACTTTAGATGGTCTTCACTCAGAGAATATTCATTAACATACATCTTAAAGCTATATTTTACCTTTTCAAAGTCAAATGCATAAAAACGGCTATATAAATAGCAGCAGTACCAAAGAAAGCCTTTCTTTTCTCTAGAAAAGTCTTAAGTCCTGAGATAAAACCATTAACCTAAAGGTGAGTCAGTACAGACTATTTCTATATTAACATATTTATTATTCCTTTGAACAGGGGAACATTCACTCAGAAAGCTTATATTTAAATCTTTCATTTTACCAAGAAAAATCATCATAGTTGATAGGAAACAATGTTTAACAAGAGATGGGCATAACATTTTTAGAATGAAAGTTAAAAATACCTGTATCTTCTCTATTTTGTCTTTTCAATTTCCGCTGAGCTTCTTCTGCCTAAAAAAACAAAGTAATTTAGACAGGGAATTAGAAACACAGGGAATTAGAAACACAAAACAGCTAAATATCCAAAACTAGTGACATAAGTAAATCATTTTTCCTGTATTATCCTCTGATTTTAGAAATTTTTTGTGCTTAATGTTGTAGTACTCTCCCAAATTGACATATCAAGGTTCATCTTTTTTCCTTGAAAGAATCCCCAAATGACTTTTTAATTGCTTTAAAATTCAAGAGAAACATGTATAAACCCAAACCAAAAAAAGTTATTTAGGTCTAAATTCTATGACATGCATCAAAAACTAAATAAAAGCTCATGTTTAAATTTTGGTTAGTGCCATTTATTGAAAAAGTGTTTTAAGAGAAGACTGCTAAAGGCAAAATTTGATTATCTAAGAATGATTAGGAAAACTATATAAGTCCCTGTGGAAAAGCATGTAAATAGTACCAAATTCCGAAATGTGTGTAAAATGGGTTAACTGATTATAACACAGGTTGAAAATTTGCCTTCAAAAGCCAATAAAATAGATACAATTATATATGTGGTGAGACATGTATTTAATTATATAGATCTTACATATGTATGCACAAAACACTGGGGCAAGAACCAAAACTTTAGGCAGTGGTATTCTAAGTAATTTGTACTTTATTCTTTTTTTGAGTCAGAGTCTCACTCTATTGCCCAGAGTAGAGTGCCATGGCTGTCAATCTAGCCCACAGCAATCTCAAACTCCTGAGCTCAAGCAATCCTACTGCTTCAGCCTCCCAAGTAGCTGGGACTATGAGCATGCACCACCATGCCCGGCTAATTTTTTTGTATATATATATTTTAGTTGGTCAATTAATTTCTTTCTATTTTTAGCAGAGACGGGGTCTTGCTCTTGCTCAGGCTGGTTTTTTTTTTGAGACAGAGTCTCGCTTGTTGACCAGGTTAGAGTGAGTGCCGTGGCGTCAGCCTAGCTCACAGCAACCTCAACATCCTGGGCTCAAGCAATCTTCTGCTCAGCCTCCCGAGTAGCTGGACTACAGGCATGTCCACCATGCCGCTAATTTTATATATATATTAGTTGGCCATTAATTTCTTTCTCTTTATAGTAGAGACGGGGTCTTTGCTCAGGCTGGTTTCGAATCCTGACTCGAGCAATCCGCCGCTCAGCTCCCGAGTGCTAGGATTACAGGCGTGAGCCACCGCGCCCGGCTTCAGGATGGTTTTGAAGTCCTGACCTTGAGCAATCCGCCTGCCTCAACCTCCCAGAGTACTAGGATTATAGGTGTGAGCCACCATGCCCAGCCTGTACTTTATTCTTTATACCTTTTTATATATTCCAAATTTCTACAAAAAAATCCAACCCTCCCCACTACACTTTTTTGTTTTTGTTTTTGAGATAGGGTTTCACTGTGTCCCAGGCTAGAATACTGTGGCCCAATCAGAGCTCACTGTAACCTTGAACTCTTAAGTGATCCTCCTGCCTCAGCCTCCCAAGTAGCTTAGGACTATAAGCATACTACCATACTTGGCTAATTTTTCTATTTTTTTTTTCCGTAGAGATAGGGTCTTACTATGCTGCTCAGGCTGGTCTCAAACTCCTGCCCTTAAGTGATCCTTCTGTCTTGCCCTCCCAAAATGCTCGATTGTAAGCATGAGCCACTGCACCTGGGCCCTACTACACTTTAAATTTTCCCAGTTACCTTGGACTGCTCTGCCCTTGAATAGTGATAGAAATACAAGTTGAACTCTTTGGCACATTCTGGTTTCAGTTCATACATGCCTCGTCCTGTTAATCCAGGTTTCCTACAAAAAAAAAGGCCCTTAGATTATTATTACTAAAGCCATACATTCATGAGACAGTCTTGGATATTAGAACAAGAAAGCAGAGCTCATATACTGCTGGTGGGTGTTAAGCTAAAACTATTTTCTGTGTGTTAATCTGGCAATCTAAATCCAAAGCTCTATGCATATCCATTTTATCTAACATGCCCACTCTGAATTCATCCTAACTGGACAAGTAGATGTGATGGACACTGCAGTGGCAACAACTTAAAAGTCTAACAACAGCAAATAGGTTACATAAATTACATCTCCAAACAACTGAACACCATTAATAGTGACGTTAATTTCTCTATTTTGACATATAAAGATGTCTGTGGTAATTTCTATTAAGTGGAAAAAAGCAGGTATAATACTGGGGTTTAGAAAGCCTTCCCCTATGCAAGTTACAAAACCCAGAAGCCAAATAATATAGAAAGATGCTCAAAAACATTTGTGTGAAATGACACCATAAACAAGTTAAAAACCAAGTGATAGACTGGGAGAAAGTATGTGCAATGTATTTAATAAAATAAGAATTGAAATCTATAATATACATAAAAATGCTATGGAGCAATAAGATAGGGTTAAACTACTGCAAAGAAAAATGCATAAAAGTATGGACAAAACAAAAATGGCCACAAAAAGATGCTCAGTCTCACTGTTAGTTAAGAGTGATGCAAATTTTATTTTTGGAGACAGACTCTGGCTCTATTGCCCAGGCTAGACTGCAGTGGCATCATAGCTTGCTGCAACCTCAAACTCCTGGGCTCAAGCAATCCTCCTGCCTCAGCCTCCTGAGTAGCTGATGACTGCAGGTGCTTGCAACCATACCGGGCTAATTTTTCTGTTTTTTAGAGACTGATCAGGCTGGGAGAGTGATACAACTTAAAACAAGGTAACATTTTTCACCCATCTAATGTCTAGAAATTAAAAGACTGTACATATCAAAGTGCTGACAAAACTGTAGGGCACTCTCATATACTGCTGATGACTTGTTTGGAAAGGCGATTTGGCCTTCCTTTTGATCAAGCAAATCCTCAAAACACTTTCACAGATAAAGATACACATGTCAGTGATATATGTAAAAGATGTTCAATACTTGTTTATAACAGAGAAAATGTGGAAACTAAATATCACACCAACATGGAAGAGATTAGATACATTTACAGGACATGACTACAAAGCAGTAAAAAAAAGAATGAAGTAGGCGTATATGTACTGACAATGTGTATTAAGCAAAAAAAAAAAACACACACACACAAAAAAACACACAAACCAAAAAAAACCACTCCAAGACACAAACATATAGAAATATTCCATTAAAGTTTAATTTTTTAAAAGGTTATAGAAAAGTAAACATAAAATGAACCCATTTTTTGTTAAAAGTATATTGTTCCCTAGTCACTTATACACACATGTAAGTGTTATAAGTATAGGAAAAAAGTTTGGAAAGGTATACATCTAAATGTAATAACAGGCTGGGTGTGGTGGCTCATGCCTGTAATCCTAGCATTCTGGGAGGCCATGGTGGGAGGATCACTTGAACTAAAGAGTTTGAGACCAGCCTGAGCAAGAACGAGTCCGTCTCTACTAAAAATAGAAAAACTTAGCTACTCAGGAGGCTGAGGCAAGAGAATTGTTTGAGTCCAGGAGTTTGAGGTTGCTATGAGCTATGATGATGCCATGGCACTCTAGCCCAGGCAACAGAGTTAGACTCTGTGTCAAAAAATACAAAAATAAAAAAGAAATGTAATAACAGAAATCAAATGAGTGGTTGGATTACAGGCAATATCTTTTTCTTGGTATTTTTCTGTATTTTCTCTAAAAGCATGTGTTGTCTTCATAGCCAACAAAAATAAAGACACTGTCACTAGAGTAGGAAACAAGGAAAAAGCAGGATTAAGAAGCCGTCTCAACAACTTCAAGGGGATAAAGTAGGTTATTGATTGGGGAACACACTGGACACTGGAGAAAGTAGCATTTAGAGGCCGTCCCATAGTTTAGCTGGCACATTCAAATGGAAACAAAGAAAATAATTTTAAGATATTAAAATGCATTTACTTACATCACTGCTCGGGTTAATTTTTATTATTTGAAACCATCAACATCTATTCTGAATGTGATGAAAACCCTCATAATGCTACTTTAAGTTGCTGAGTGCAGGGTGAGATTAGAAAGGTGAATTATCAGTGAGAAATCTAATTTAGAACTATAACTTGAAAATGTCACTCTCTGAAAGTAACAACTTCATTCTCAGTTCCATCAAAGGAAACACTAACAAAAATGGATGTAATAAAAAGAAAAAAAGAACATGAAATAATAGGAAGTAAACTCACCTGAAATGGGCAACTGCTTCTATTACACTCTCCATACCAGTCTCTTTGTTCTCCTAAAGGTACGAGAAACCAGTGTGTTTCAAGTTAATAATAATAACTGCTTGTACTCTGAGCAATGTGCTTTCTCTTATTAACCCACACAGCAACCCTATGAGGTAGATATGCTATTATCCCCATCTTTACAGATGAGGATTCCATAGTAAGCATAACGATTAATATTTAGTTAGGTACACTTATTTAGTGAGGTGACAGTCATTCAAATGGATATAATTTTTAAATATATAAAATAGATGTAATTTTTTAATTTTTAAAAAGTCCCACCACATGGAATCAAGGTAAGAGCATTCAAAAGGAATTAAATGAGAACACAAAGCATACAAAATAAACAAAATTTATGTTAAAATATTCGTAATATTTTGTGAAATAGATACATTAATTTCTTATCTATTTTCAGTAAAACAGTACTTCTCAAATCACATCCCATTCATGACAAGGTATTAATAAAAATTCTGTGAATAAATAATTCTTCAGTCAAAATGTTTGGGAAATAAAGTTGCCATCACTTTGTATAACGCACTTTAAAAATGCAGTTTTAAATTTTATTCTTCCTTAAAGTCTAGGTTAAATTATAACTGCTTCCTCATCTAAGAACTCAGGATTAATTTCCTACATTAAAAAGTATAAGTAGATTGGGCATGGTAGTTCACACCTATAATGCTAGCACTTTGGGAGACTGAGGTGAGAAGATTGCTTGAGTTCAGGAGTTCAAAACCAGCCTGCTCAACAGTGAGACACTGTTTTTACAAAAAATACACAAATTAGCCAGGCATGGTGGCATGCACCTGCAATCCCAGCTACGAGGGAGGCTGAGGCAGGAGGATTGCTTAAGCCCAGGACTTGGAGGCTGTAGTGAGCTATGAAGACACTACTGCACGCTGGCCCAGGCAACAGAATGAGACCCTAGCTCCAAAACAAAAACAAAAACAAAAACAAAACAACAAAAAAAATCATTAGTAATTTTATCCTGACTACTACATATTTAGTGATAATAAGAAATAACTAATTATTGCTATTTTTTGAAGTGTCATAATGACATCTAAATAGGTTCTTTTAAAAGCCCTTTGTTTTCTTTTAGATCAGTTTCTCAACATCAGCACTTCTCACATTTAGACCAGATAATTCTTTGCTGTGTGTAGGGGTTGTCCTAGGCATTGTAGAATGTTTAGCAGTATCCCTGGCCTCTACCCACTAACTAGATAGCACTAGAACCAACATCCTGTCCTGACTAGTGACATTGTTAAATGTCCCCGAGTGGAAGGAATTGTTCCTTGTTGAGAACCACTGTTTTAGATGCATATAGTCCTATTTATAGATGAAATAGTAAATCTAGTATTGTCTACAAAATAATCCACTGGGCACAGGGGTTAGTTCTTGGGTATGATAAAACAAGATTAGCAAAATGTTGAAGCTGGTGATGGGTATATTATACTGTTTTCTATTTCTGTAGGCATTTGAAAGTTTTCATGATACAAAGTATAAAAGAAGAATTGTATTATTATGCAACAAAGATAAGATAGGTTGAAATCCCAGAAAAATAAATGTTAAGGTTGAAAGTTTTAATCTGTGTTTCAAATTAGGGAAAACATTTTGAAAAGTCTCATGGCTAAAAAGTAGGTGGCTGAGGAACTCACAACTTCTGGGAAGAAAAACAATTGCAGTTAAAACCATGAATGACCTGTGACTATTATTTTTCATTCACTAAAATGAAATAATGGCTCATTATTAAGGATAGTCTTTGTATGCTTGAGAAGGAAAAAGCTCTGGAAAACTTGTTTAGTCAATATAGGTGAGTAGGTATTTTTCACTCCCTTCTTCAATATACTAGACTATAAAGTATATCTATACCTATGACAATTTGTACTAAAACCCCTATAACTACAAACTTTAGTTCTAACGAGTGGATTTACTTTTTTCAGTGTCCCTATTTCTTTCAAGACTTTATGTAAAAAAAGATCCTACTTCTATTGTATTCATATTCTACTTTCCTATAATCCTAGTCCCTAGTATTATTTATAGTAAAAGTGACTGGAGTTATATACATCCTAGAAGTGTAGTTTTTACAATGGTAAGAAAGGCATATAGAAGTAAAGCTATGCTGGGTGCAGTGGCTCGAGTCTATAATTTTAGTATCTTAAGGCTGAGAGGTGGGAGATTTGTTTGAGCTCAGGAGTTTGAGACCAGCCTAAGCAAGAGCAAGAGCCTGTTTCTACAAAAACTAGAAAAATTAGCCTGGCACATTTACACATGCCTGTGGTCCCAGCTCCTTGGGAAGCTAAGGCAGGAGGATCACTTGAGCCCAGGAGTTTGAGGTTGCAGTGAGCTACGATGACGCCACTACACTGCACTCCACTCCAGCTTGGGTGACAGAGTGAGACTCTGTTAAAAAAACAAAAAAACAAACAAAAAAAAAAAACAAGAAAAAGTAAATCTATATGGACTAGCCTGATAGGTAAGGAAGGAATTCCATGATTTTCTTTTTAAAAAATACAGGTACTTACGTCTTCAGGTAAAGACTTCACTAATTCACTATGAGCCATAGGTTTGATGCTCAACTGATGGATAATCTCCCGCTTTATTTCATCTGCAGCATTTACCTGTGCAATTCCAGGACTAAATCTCTCTCCTGTCAAAAATGAAAAAGCATATATACACACATTTAACATAATCACATAATTATGTAATGCATACTTATAATTCATGCAGCACAATATATTTGCCTATCTGAGTCTCCCTGAGCAACAGAAAAGCAATGACCGGTCTGGCAACAAGCCAGGGAGAGAGCAACTACTGACCGGTAAGGCAGTGGAGAAAAGTGCTGGCTGCTATTTTGGAAGAATGGGATCAGAAAGGTGGGAAGGGATTAGAAGTAGCCAAGGAAACCACTTTCCCTCCATCCTTCTTTTAGCAGCAAGAAAGAAGAGCCTTCTTTCCCCCTTCAATCTAGTGGCAAATAAAATACCAACTTCTGAGACCTTCCTCATTGGTATCGCCTCCTGACAGTAATCAGGCTTCTCTGCTTTATGGACTACAGAAAGTCTGAGATAGCAAGGTAGGTGGGAGGTGAGGAATAAAGAATGGGAAAGATGGGGGAAAAAATGGACTGAAAATTATATAGGTAAGAAGGAAAGACATCCACATCTATTAGTCATAGGTACCCATTAGCTTGGAATTATTATATCTGAAGTCAAGAAGACACTTTTACACCATAAATCCATGGAGAGAAACATAGCTAAGATATAAAATAACAGAAAAGGCTGGGCAAAGTGGCTCAGGCCTGTAATCCTAGCACTCTGGGAGGGTGAGGCAAGAGGATCACTTAAGCTCAGGAATTTGAGACCATCCTGAGCAAGAGTGAGACCCCATTTCTAACAAAAATAGAAAAAATAGCTGGGCGTGGTGGCGTGCACCTGTAGTCCCAGCTACTCAGAAGGCTGAGGCAGGAGCACTGCTTGAGCCCAGAAGTTTGAGGTTGCAGTGAGGCTGCAGTGAACCATGATGACACCACTGCACTCTATCTAGCCAGGGTGACAGAGTGAGACTCTGTTTCAGGAAAAAAAAAAAAAGAAAAAAAGAAAAAAACAAAAAAACAAAGGAGTAAATTGCTCCTAAATATCTTTATTCCTTGTTTGCTAAATTCTCCTGTCCCCATTTTTTCCCCAAACATAGCCTTCCAATTTATTCTGCTTCGGTGGTTGTAATTTCTCCTTTTCCCAAAGCAGCACAATGCTGTTACTCTCAACAATACAGACTGGAGAATGAGACGAATATTCCCTTCCCCTAAGACTGAGTATCCTCTTAAAACAAATAGTTCAGAAGTTCTGAACTATTTGCTACCACAAACTCTAATGTAATTATACATGTCTCAAACAATCTAAACTTACCAAGAAGCATTATAATGAGGTATAGCATTTCTTCTATTAGAGTATTGTTCTGCTGAATAACATCCTATAACAAATGAGGGAAGATAAAGTTCAGAGATAAGAATATGCACACTGTATTATCTCAGATGATTAATATAACCAAAAAGAATGAAAGATGCTTCTTTAGCAATGTGTTGTGGTCTCATACATGTTCTTACCTTATGAGTAGTCTCAGAACTAAATCTTTTTCCATAGTCTGGAGTACTGAAAATCTGATAAAGTTCAAAGCGGCTGAGCATTATCATCAGGAAATGGTTTGGATCCATCATGGAGGCACCTGTCTTTTTTTTTTTTTTTATGTTTGAGATAAAGGAAAAGAGGAAGGTCAAAAGGGCCACTAAACAATTAGCAAGAGATATTTTGGTTTGCACAGGAGAAAGCAGTTTACCAATCCCAATATGTTCACCAATCCCAATCCCTTGTGACAGCTGACAGGTATGGAAAGGAATCTACGTTGGTGAAACAAAACACAAACAAAAATACCCCCAAACCTAAACCCACGTATCAAAATAACATGGACTGTAAGTTCTCTTTCCTTCTAATGCTTTGAAGTAATTGTATTCCTATGAATTTGGTTCCAAAGTTTTATTTCAGAGTTCTCTGATCATTTTCTGAGGATCACTATATGGACTCAGAGAAATGTGGTATGCCAATTAAGCTTCTAATATTTTTTGTGTGTCATTAAACTATTGTTTAATGTCATTAAACTATGTGTCATTAAACTATTGTTTACTATTACTATGTGTCATTAAACTATTATCAAGATCTCTCAACCTATTTTTTTTTGTGGCAAGCAATACATTAACTGAAGTGACAACTTTTTTTTTTTTGAGACAGTGAAGTGGCAACTTTTAAATATTAGATTCAACTCTCCTTTAATTCCATTTGTAAATTATAAATCAACCTGGATTTTATTTTGAACCACTAATTTTTTTTTTGAAATTTACATTTCTTTCTTCTTTTTTTTGGAAACAGAGTCTGCTCTGTCGCCCTGGCTACTATGCAGCAGCGTTGTCATAGCTCACTGCAACCTCAAACTCATGGGCTCAAGTGATCCTCCTGTCTTAGCCTCCTGAGTAGCTGGGACTACAGGTGTGAGCTACCAAGCCAGCTAATTTTTCTTATTTTTTTTTGGTAGAGACGGGGTCTCACTCTTGCTCAGGCTGGTCTCAAACTTTTGAGCTCAAGTGATCCTCCCGCCTTGGCCTGCCCTAGAGTGCTAGTATTACAGGTCTAAGCCACCACGCCTAGCCGAAATTTACATTTCTTGACTTTTTCTATAATTACTACATTTATTCAGCAATAATATAGAACCCCTACTATGTGACAAGCACTGTGCTAGGCAAAAGGGACAAAAAAAAAAAAAAAGATACAGTTGTCATTATTTGGTGGGGTAGGAGTGATGAAAAGTAAACAGGTAACCACAATGCAGAGTTGTGAGTGCTGTAGCAGGGTAAGTACCATGCTATGGTCCTCGCAAAACAAATACTTAGCCAATGTTAATATGTCAGGGGAGGATCCATGGAGAAAATAATGCTAAAGTAAACACTAAGACACACAGGAAAATAAGTTAGCTAGGTGAAGGGAAAAGGAAGGGGTGGGTAATCTAGGGAGAAGAAATAAACGTGCAGAGTTTAAGATTAAAGAGAGAGTACGACAAATTTAGGGAACTTCAATGTAGTTTAAGTATTGCAGGCCTCTGAAATTAGTTTAAGTGGTTTAAAGTAGGAGGTTTAACATTAAGAAGGTATGGAGGAAATAAAAGGAGTTATTCTGAACATGTTAAATCTGAGATGTGTCCAGAAAATCTAGATGGAAATGCTCTAGAGGGTTTAGCCACCTGAGTTTAGAGCTTAGTAGGTAGGGCTAGGCTGGGGATACAGATTTGGGAGTGATCACAAGTAACTAACCAGGTTATGTGGAAATAACAAGAAGCAAAAGACCTCCCACGCCTTTAATTTCAATGTTTTTTTAACTTATTACCTGAAGCATTACTATATCCTTGTCAAACATCTCACGTCTGCATTTCACATTATGGTAGTAATAAATCTAAAAAAATAATTAATTACATTGAGTAAACAGGTTTTTATTGGCACAGCTCCCTCCTCTCCCCATAAAAGCACATTGGTGTGTAAGAATATGCGCATGCATGTGACAGGGTTTCCCAAATAGTTGACCCTATCTTAGTACAGATTAATTAGAAACTTCCAAATTATAGTAATAATTCTATGGTTCACATTTCTGGGTCTCCCAACAAAGTAAAAGGTGGTTGTCTCAGGAAGGTTTAGAGCCGCCAAAAATAGGAAAAAAAATCCATACCAATCCTAAATGAAGTTCAAAAAGTAAAATTTCAATTTTAGAGGTATACTAAAAGACCTTTTACCTTTTAAACCTATTTAATTTAAATATAGATAAATCTTGATTTTTATTACATTTTTAATATCCAACTTTGTTGTCTTTTTTGACACAGAGTCTTGCTCTGTTGCCCAAGATAGAGTGCTGTGGCATCAGTCTAGCTCACAGCAACCTCCACATTCCTGGGCTCAAGCGATCCTCCTGCCTCAGTCTCCTGGGCAGCTGGGGCCACAGGCATGTACCATCATGTCCAGCTTATTTTTTCTATTTTTAGCAGAGACAGGGTCTCACTCTTGCTCAGGCTGGTCTCGAACTCCTGAGCTCAATCAATCCTCCCACCTTGGCCTCCAAGAGTGCTAGGATTACAGGCATGAGCCCAGCCTGTGACATTGTTCTAAAAAATAATTTCAAGTGAAAATCAAGACCACTGTTGTTCATCTCTACTTTTTTTTTTTTTTTTTTTTGAGACAGAGTCTCACTTTGTTGCCCAGGCTAGAGTGCCATGGCGTCAGCCTAGCTCATAGCAACCTCAAACTCCTGGGCTCAAGCAATCCTCCTGCCTCAGCCTCCCAAGTAGCTGGGACTACAGGCATGTGCCACCATGCCCGGCTAATTTTTTCTATATATGTATTAGTTGGCCAATTAATTTCTTTTTATTTATAGTAGAGACGGATCTCGCTCTTGCTCAGGCTGGTTTCGAACTCTGACCTCGAGCAATCCGCCCGCCTCGGCCTCCCAGAGTGCTAGGATTACAGGCGTGAGCCACCGCGCCCGGCCCATCTCTACTTTTGATATTAATTACTGACAAACTATGATTAAAAGTTCTAAGAAAATTGGTTATTATATTTTTCTTCTTAAACAATTTTAATATAGATACTCAACTTCTGACTAAATCCAGGGAAAATTACAACCTTCACAGAAGCCAAGGAATCAAATGAAAACTCTTCATAAAATTAAAAAACACTTACCTGGTTTACTAGAGAGAACCCATTTCTTCTCCACATTCCAGCATGTACTTGGGCACATAAAACAAGACATCTAAGAGGGTGTTCTATCAACATGGGTGGGCTAAGTTCACTCTGTATATATAAAACAAACAAAAAACACACAAAAAATCAACTTTATAAAGAAAGCTTGGTTGATAGGAATGGAAGCTTTTATAAAATATAAGTTAAACAATTCACTTGAAGGCCTTAACAGAAAAAGACTGAAGTCCCCCTGAGGAGAAAGGAATTCTGCCTCCATGATTGCCTTGAGACTGCCACATCGATTCTTCCCTGGGTCTCTCCAGTCTACTTTGGGCTGCCCCACAGATTTCAGACTTGCCAGCCCCCACAATTGTGTGAGACGATTCGTTAAAATAAATCTACATATATATGTAGAGAGAGAGAGAGTGTGCACACACATCTTATTATAGTTCTGTTTCTCTGGAGAACCCAAAGTAATCAAGTTTGTTTCAAAGTGATTTCAAATACAAAGAATACAATAAATATGTATTCACTTTTAAAGGTCAGCACCACTTACTAGAGGTAGGAGCTCTGGAAATTTATATGCCACTTCACTTTTGCTTAATAAAACATGCAAACCTGCAAGGAAGAACCAACAAAGTATTTCTATAAGTGAAAACAGTTTAGGAAAAAAATCTCTAAAAATTCACTCAACTTTACATATCTTCTGTTTTGGAATCTATCAGGTTACAAATTAAGATATAAAATTAACTATATCCATAAATGAAGCTTTTCAATGGTCATTCTCATGAATCTCTATATCAAAGGCACACTTAATACATATACCAACAAAAGTATCTATATATGTTATACCAACTTTAAGAGTCACATTTTACTGGGCCATGGAGTTTGTTATCATTTAAAGTATAGCAGTGAGAGATTCTTCTGGCAACTGAACAGAGAAACTTGCCATGGGGCTCGTGGTCTGCACTGATCTTCAGTTTAGGATCAAAGCCTCTTTTAGCTTCTAACCTCAAGAAGCACTTGAACAGCTCAACCTTAGTTCATTCTGATTGTGTCCTGTTTGTGTTGTTGCCCTAACAGAGAAGGCGTTTTACAATCTTATCAATATATATATTGGCCACTTGGCTCAAGCCTGGTTTGAGGCTTTCTTTATTTGGAAAGACCTGCACTACTAATACCATTTTAATAATTTGTTCTCAACATTTAGTACTCAAGCTCCATTAGCACACGCCCCAAGTTGTTCATGAACTGCTTTATATGTTTACTTAGCTCTCCAATTAGATTATAAACATTTAGGCCAAGGTTTATCAAGTACAATGAGATGAAAACTGAAAAATATTCACTCAACAGCTTTTAGGGAGGTAAAGACCTAGGCAGAAATTAGTACATTTTTAGAGTATTGACTTTTTTCACCATGCATAACTATCAGCATCAGCTTCTACCCATAAAACCAGATTTTTAAAGGCAGAAGAGATCAGTAGCTGAGGGGGAGACAGGACTCACGTTCTTGCCTTCTACTCCAACACTTTCTCACAATATCATGCTATGAGTTGTCTATGTTAAGGATCAACAGTTCAGTTGCTCAAAACACATATAAAAACAAAACTGGGCCTGAACAGATTATAGAAATAAAAGAAATTTCTTCATGTGATCACAATTTCATTCTAGGTAATTATCTGTTGGTACTATTTTAATATTCATATGTCTAAGAATAAACAACTCCATAATCTTCACAGTTATCTTAAATCATCAAGACTTTAAGGGTCTATCAGCAAGATAATGTGATAATGCTCAGAACAATGAACAAAATGCCTTCAGAATGAAAGAGGAACCATTACTACTAAACTTACATACATTAAAAAGAAAATGAAGGAATACTATGAACTCTAGGCCTGTATGTTAACTTAGGTGAAACGGACCAATTTCTTGAAAGACACAAACTACCAAAACCCACACAAGGAGAAACAGATATCCTAAACAGTTCTATATTAAAGAAATTAAATCGATAAGTAACCTCAAAACTAAAGCATCAGATGATTTCACTGGTGAATTCTAGCAAACATTCAAAGAATAAATGATACTATTCTCCACAATGTCTTCCAGAAAAATTGAAACAAAAAGTACACCTTCATATCACATTAAGTTACTTAAGATAAATTACATATTCTGCAATGAGTAGAAACATCTACCTTCAGAACTTCCCTTCCATCTATTCTCTAAGTTAAAAGGGAACTAAAGGTAACATCAGTACGTGAGCAGACTAAGAATACCTGGAACGGAGAAATATGGAAGGTGTACTGAAATGAGTCTACAGAGATGGATACTGCATATTCAAAGTCTTTGGCTACTGCAAGATGGCAGCTTCAGACAGTTGACCACTTACACACTACCTATAAGTCAACTAGTAGAGATTAAAGAATTATCACCTCAATATGGGCTCGCTCTTGACCTACTGCTTAAAAGAGGATCAATAAATATGAAACAGTTTATAGGGAGAGAAGAAAGAGCAAGAGAAAACCTAGGGTGATTTCGATTGATTAGTAATCACTTAAATAACAGATTAGTTTGAATTTTAACACCACTGACTTTGTAGCTAGATTGAGTTAAACAATAAAATATGCTAACTGTAGTTAAGAAGTATAGAGAAGCACTATGGTACAATGGTTATAAACATGGCCTCTGGTGCCAAATTGACTCAAAATGCCAATTCTGATTCTTTCTTGCTATGTGACACTAAACAAGTCACTCTCTCTGTGAAGTGAGCTTAATGATACCTACCTCATAGGCCTATGTGATGATTAAATAAGTTAATGCATGTAAAACTCTCAGAATAATGCCTAGCACATAGTAGGTATTAATAAATATTAACCACAAATAAAAGATAATTTTAGGGTTCTCTTAGGGGAAATGCTTTACCTGCAAGTAAGCGAGAAACTGGGAGGTGAATGCTAACTTTTTCTTGGGAAACACAGTATCTGATAGTTTCCACTGAATGTCCACAAATGCTTAGCGTGATTGGCTGTTCACCATCAGTAAAACCACCATGACACTGCATCAATACAGCGAGACATTTCTTGTAAGCTTCAATTAATACTTTTTCCTAAAAAAGAGGGTTTTTCTGTAAGTTAGTCAAAAGGTTGGGTTTCTACAACATTGAATAAGTACCTCAAATTCGATGATGAATAAGTATCTCAAATAACAATATGGGCAAAACCAAACTTAATCCTCCCTCCCAAACTTGGTCCCCCCTCTTCCTGTGTCCCCTGTCTCAGTGAATGATACCTTGATCCATATACCTGTGGAAATCTAGAAGTTATTCCAACATCCTCCTTTCCCTCATTGCCCATTGTCTACTCCAAATCAAGCCTGCAATTTCATCGTCTACACTTCTCTCAAAACTAGCCACTTTTCTCTATCTCCAGTAACTCCAAGGCATTGCCTACCATCTCTCTATTAAATTCCTTGCTTCAACTCTTGCCCCTTCATCTACTCTTCAGAGTAATTTTTAAAAATATGTAAATTGAATCATGTTACTTTTCCGTCTGGTGGTCTCTAAAGGCCTCCTACTTCAGTTAGAATAAAATAAAATCGTCTTTCTATGGCTAAGGCCCTGAGAAGTCAGGCCCCTACCCACCTCTCTGCCCTCTACCTCTATGCTGTAACCAGAGAGCCTTCTCATAGCTCCTGGCACAACCAGAATCCCTTCTTATCACAGAGCATGATGCAACTATTCTCTTAGTCAGGAATATTATTTACTCTTTGTTCAGTTAACTTTTACACACTTTTTAGCTCTTATAGAAGTGTTCCCTGACCCCCTAATTTATACAGGCTCTCATCTAGACTTTATTGCCAAAGGAAGGCCAAAATAATTTTAAGACACAGGACAGATGTACCAATAATAAAAATTTTGAGACTATAAACTAAATTATCAACTTTTTATATTCTATAGTCTAGAAGGGATTATGGAAAAGGAATGAAGATAGTTATATTAGGGAAGAGAGAGTATGGATTATTTCCTCCTTTATTTTTCAAGTTTTTTCTTAAGGCTTTACAGTTTTAAGATTTTAATGAATTTATAGGTAGAAAAGGAAAATATGCTGTTTTATGAGCTACGTATCACCACTATTTCTCTAAGTCTCCTTAAAACTTACTTAGGAATCTGCTCATTACCCCCCCTTCCATTTTCCTCCTATCCCCTGCCCCTAGAAGAAACTCACATCTAAAGCACACCAGTCCTGCATCATCGAAATGACATGTGTTAATTTCATTTGTAGTGTAAAGGCTGCTTCCCACTCTGGTTCCATTTCAATATGTTGTCCCACTTGACGTACAATCGGATCCATTCCCTTAAAGGAAGTGAAAAGATGGTATATGAATTTATAGTTGTTCTCTTATATGAAAACCTAAGAAATAACCTAAGAAGAAATATATATATATTGATTATAAAAACATATAAGGCGTAAGTTCTAGGAGGAAGTAGTATGAGAAATCATAGCTTTTAAAATTATGTGTTTATAAAACAATCTCTAAAATACAAATCAAAAAACTCAATAAGGCCAGGCGCGGTGGCTCACGCCTGTAATCCTAGCTCTTGGGAGGCCGAGGCGGGCGGATTGCTCAAGGTCAGGAGTTCAAAACCAACCTGAGCAAGAGCGAGACCCCGTCTCTACTATAAATAGAAAGAAATTAATTGGCCAACTGATATATATATAAAAATTAGCCGGCATGGTGGCTCATGCCTGTAGTCCCAGCTACTCAGGAGGCTGAGGCAGAAGGATCGCTCGAGCCCAGGAGTTTGAGGTTGCTGTAAGCTAGGCTGACGCCACGGCACTCACTCTAGCCTGGACAACAAAGCGAGACTCTGTCAAAAAAAAAACTCAATAAGGACCAGTGTCCTTAGGCTGACACCATGGCACTCACTCTAGTCTGGGCAACAAAGCGAGACTCTGTCTCAAAAACAACAACAACAACAAAAAACTCAATAAAGTATAGAATGAATTATTTTAGAGGCAGTCTTGTAGATCTCTTTTAGACTAAAAAATACTTCAATACTTCACTGCAATAATCCTTCAAATTCCTTTCTAGCTCTATATCTATAGAAAAAACTGTTAAAAGAAATTTGGCAGGCTTTAATAAATGTTATAGAATTTATAAATATATTTTGTTTTAGAATTAAGTTTTAATAATTATTGCCTAATAAACAACCAAGTTTTCACAGTGTCTGAAAGAAAGCAAAAGAAAGTAAAACAAGAAAAACAGCTTTTCTTTTTTTTGAGACAGAGTCTCGCTTTGTTGCCCAGGCTAGAGTGAGTGCCATGGTGTCAGCCTAGCTCACAGCAACTTCAAACTCCCTGAACTCAAGCAATCTTCCTGCCTTAGCCTCCTGAGTAGCTGGGACTACAGGCATGCACCACCATGCCTGGCTAATTTTTCTATATATATTAGTTTGGCCATTAATTTCTTTCTAATTATAGAGAGACGGATCTCGCTCTTGCTCAGGCTGGTTTCAAACTCCTGCCCTCTAGCAATCTGCCTGCCTTGGCCTCCCAGAGTGCTAGGATTACAGGTGTGAGCCACCACGCCCAGCCAAGAAAAGAAAAACAGCTTTTAATAAAAAAATTACTTTTCAGAAACCAGCCTAACTACCTGGGTATGTCAGAACTTATTAAATAATAGAGAATACAGAATACTAAGTATTCAAATGGATCAAAATAGCTATTGTTTTTATAGATACATGAAAAACACAGTAGTATTATAATAAACTAAACACTCATGAACTGCCTCCCAACCTAGGAACTAAAATGTTTTCTAAAAATGATATGTCAACTTTGATTATTCCTTAAGAAAGCCAGATGGTTACTAAAGGAATCATAATATTAATAGTACTTGCTCAGATTTTTAGAGATGTTACCTATCTTCTTACAGTTAAAACTGGTTAAATATACCTGTTGGTTTCTAACTCTAGATTCTGTTTCATATATGGAGATAGTTCCAAAAAAAAAAAAATAGAAGCAGAGGAAAAAGTTCTACACTGTATTATATAAATATCACATCAAGGAGAAAAAAGAAATATAGAAACATTTTTAAAAAATCCCAAAACAACTATAGTTTCTCAAATAACTTGACTATACTTCCAAGCAAGCTTATCTAAAAAATGAACTTATAACCTCTAAAGAAAGAACATTAATGGTAACCAAAAGAATTACCAAATACAAAGAGCAGTAGATGCCAGAACCTATGCTGGAATCTCATTTGCTCTATACCTTTTCTAAGAGTTTCCAATTATTGAGGAGCTTCTTGGTCCAAATGCAACCATCCAAATTGATCTTTTGGAAACTTGCCCAAAACGGAAAAAAAAAATGCACAGACAGAAAGGTGCTCAGTCCAATGAACAAAAACAACAAAAAACAGAAGCTGGGCATGGTGGTATACACCTGTAGTTCCAGTGTTTGAGAAGTTGAAGTGTGAGGATCACTTGAGCCCAGGAGTTTGAGGATGAACTATGCTATGATTGTGCCTGTGAATAGCTATTATACTCCAGCCTGGGCAACAGAGAGAGAGACCTCATCTCTTATCAAAAACAAACAAAAAAAAAAGAAGAAAAAAAAAAAAGAAAAGAGGATGAAAAACAAAAAGGTATCAGTTTATACATACCTGCATACATTTAAGTAATTCCAAAAAGGCATCAAATCCTTCTAGGAACTTCTGCCTCAGCTCATCTGACCATTCAGTTGGTTTGCTAATTAAAACATACCTGAACAAGATACAAGCAGCAATGAATACAAAGATAAACACTGACATTTTACAAGTTGCAAATGGTTTAATAATTGAACAAAAACTTACTTGAGATCTAAAATAAGGCTCTGAACTCTCCTAAACTTGAAGGCTTGTAAAGCAGTGTATCGTTCAAACTGAAATCTGCCCTGGGCATCTCGATGTCTCAAATGATCCATAAAAGTCTTAATGATAATGGTCATCAGGTTTTCTTCTGTGATGAGCATTCGAGCCTAAAACAAAGTATATTGGAGTGCATGGTAATCAAAAACTATTTACTAGGAGGCAGAAGAAAAAAAAATCATCAACATTATTTAGCTCTTTCAGTTTAAAATCCTTTTCAAACACAACCATATAATATCATAAGTGTATTACTGTGTATTTCTAAATAACAATTACTTACTCCAATAGCCATGTGTATGAAGCAACAATTATATCAGATGCCAGAAAGATGCCAGAATGTTAGAAGACAGTTCCAAGGCTCATTATTCAAGATAATTCAGGGTGGGGGATCTGAATCAGGCTGCAAATTTTCCTTAACTGAGACATTTAGACACCTATAATGGTATGGTATAATTATTCTAGGATTCAGAGGTTTATGTCAAAGATTCTCTAGAAGTCAATATAAAACTGTATTTCCTCTTAATCTCTTTAGTTAAGATTTATTTTTTGCTTTGTATCTATGTGTGTGTGTATATATATATGTATATCTCTATGTATTTTTGAATAAGTAAATACATGCAAATGATGCCAAATACAAGTAAAAAGTAAGTCCTCTAGTTCCTAGAAGTTTCACGTCCAAAGGCAAACCCTGTTAGCAGTTCTTTGCACGTTCTTGCAGAGCCGGTATGTGTGTATAATATCTATATATCTATACATATAAACTACAAAATAAAATACAAATAAAATAGGCTAAATGTATATTAAGTATATATAAGTATGGATATGTATAATTATCTCTCTTTCCCTCAAAGGATAGCATATTTTATACTGTTCTGTACTTTTTTTACTTGATATATTTTAGAGATTGTCCCATATCAGTTCATACAAATTTCCCTTATTCTTTTTTATCTATCACCAGGTATACTTCTGTATCATACTTTATTTAGTCAGGCCCTTATTGGTAAGACATTCAGTTTTTTCCAGTTTTATGCCATTACAAAAGATGTTGCAACAAATATCTACTCTGTACAGTTGTAAGAATATTTATAGAATAATTTCCTAAAAGTGGAACTAATGTGTTAAAGAGTAGGTACATTATAAATTTTAACTGTTCCCACAAAGAGGCTTAACAATTTATGTTTTCTCCTATGATATGGGCCTTGCTCCTCCTGCCCTCCTAACACAATGTAACTTCGAACATTTTGATCTTTGCAATTTGATGGTTTTAATCTGTTACAGTAAAGTTAGAATGTCTAATTTTACTTTAAATATCACATTTTTCCTCTGATACAAAAGATCATGGATCCGTACCCCACGCCTTTCCCAGCCTCAATAGCTAATCTCTCCTAGGTGTTAGAGTGTTATTGATGTTGGGCTACAACTTAAACAGGTCTCATATCAATCAATATCATCTAATTAGCAGTATAGAATTTGCATTAAAAAAATAGGACCAAAATGTAGAAGAAAGAAGTCCAAGAATACAGTAAAAGCTGTATTCTAATGCAGAGGTTAAGTGCTAAAATCATAAGTAGAAAATCTATAGAGTTAAATATACCTTCGAAAACTCCTAAATTATCAACACATTGCCAGGACTTAGGCTCTAAGTAGCTCAAAAGTCTACAGGATTAACTTCTGTTAAATTTTCCTCCACAGTAAAGATTAAGGTGAAGTTTGCAAGGGTGGGGAATGCTAAGGGGGTAAGTAAAAATTTTCCTTTTGTTTGTTGGATTAATTGGTTTTGAAGATGTTAAATGAGTATGATTCAAATCCACTTAGCTAAGAAAAAACTCTGTAGAGCTGCAATCCCCAAGACCTGGGCTGTAGACGAGTATCAGTCCTGTGTCTCTTAGGAACCAGGATGTAGCAGTGGGCAAGTGAGAGAAGCTTCATCTGTATTTACAGCCACTCCCCATCGCTCACATCACCACATAATCTCCACCTCCTGTAAGATCAGTGGCATTAGATTCCCATAGGAGTGCAAATTCTACTGTAAACTGCACATGCAAGGACTCTGGGTTGTGCGCTCCTTATGGGAATCAGATGCCTGACATCTGAGGTGGAGCTAAGGCAGTGGTGCTAGTCTAGCACTGCAGATCAGCTGCAAATACAGATTATCATTAGCAGAGAGGGTTGACTGCACAATAAATGTAATTTGCTTGAATTACATTCCCAACCCCTGTCCAGTCTGTGGAAAAACTGTCTTCCGTGAAGTTGGTCCCTGGTGTCAAAAAGGTTGGGGACTGCTGCTGTACTGTCAGCGTATAAGACTTAGAGCAGGTAAGAAAAGGAGTTTGGCAGAATGTAAATCTCACTAATCAAGGTACTTATTAGCATTTTCTGTTTCAGGTGAATGTTAAGAGAGATATGCATAGTTTTGGATTGGATTCTAATTGTTTGTACTTGGGGTCAAATAAAAAAATTAATAAGAGTGGCCCATTAAAACAAGGGAGTGGCCAGGTGTGGTGGTTGTATGTATGCCTAAAGTCCCAGCTACTTGGGAGGCTGAGGCAGAAAGACTGAGCTTAGGATTTCAAGGCCAGCCTGGGCAGTGCAGCAAGACTCTGTTTCTAAAACAAAACACAACACAACACAGCACTAAAAAAAAAAAACCAAAACAAAACAAAATTAAAAAAAAATCCAAGGAGTTATTCAACATTTCTACTTTTAAAAATATAACTAAAGAAGCATATTTTCCAAAGTTATGAACAGAAATGGATAAAAACCATTGGTTGGTTTTATCAACCTTTCAAGGCAATTTTCAACATTAAATATCTAACATTATTATACTAGTTCTAGTTCTTATCACTTACCCTAAAAAATTACTTTAATTTTTATGTCTACAATTCACTTTGTTTTAAAAAACATTTCCACTACTTAATTACAGTTTTTATTCACTTTATGTAATTCATATTCAATTTTGTTTTTGCAAGGCTCATTACACATTTAACAAAATATTCAAAATGGGCCAAATTCTCCCCTCAGACTCTGAAAAACTTCACTGAATATTAACAGTCTATGCACACACTTTTAGTTAAACTAAACATGCTACAGCACATAGAGATGATGCTGACTGAGTGCACATTTAATAAAATAAACTAGAACAACTATTGTACTCTAGTCACTTGATTTATAAACACTTGTTCTTGACCAGACTTAAAATGAAGGCGGTGTTAACTGTAAGGCAATTCTGATTCGAAAGATACCAGTGCTATAAAACATTTCACTAATATCTAGGGCAAGTTATTTTTAACCAGGATGTGCACAAGAATTGCTAATGGAGCTTTTCCAAAAAACTATACAAGCACTCTTCTGCTTCTAGTCACGATGGAGTAGCTTGAGGCTGACCGACACTTCTACCAAGAACTAGAAAAGCTCAACTTAAAAAAGAAAAAAAAGTTTGAAATCATTAGCAAGCTGCTAAGACAAGAAGGACCCCAGGGGATAAAAACCATGGATAAAGGGAACTGCACAGGGAAGTGAGCAAACATTCAGCAGCTACTTTTGCCTCAGCATTCGACTATTTCAGGAATAGGGTAAGAGGATTAAAGATGCCAGGAGTGAATCTGTACAGAGCTGCTATTCATAAGAAGAGACACCTACTGACATTTTAGCTGGCCCAGTGTGTTGGATAGGATAGAATCCCAGTAAGAACAACAGAAGGGTGGGGAAATAAGTTCAAGATTATTCTAGTTTTCTTCTCAAACATTTGCAAAATTCTGAAGTTATACAGGATGCAAGTCTGAGAAAAGCAGGAAGCCCAGAAGAACAAAGCAATGCTATGGCAGTCTTATCGAGGTGAAGAAACTCTCATCTATACAGAGTTCAGGATCCTATAGAGGGGAAGAACTCCAGTCTCTCAACTAGGAAAGCTTAGGGAGTTATGTCCCAGGGATGGGCACGAACCAGAAGAAAGACTGAATCTTCCTAAAACAACCTGGACTCAGGCAATTCCTGACTGGATTAAGGTGATCAGCCTCACCCTATGTGCTGAAGGGGACTAGAATATGCCACACCAAAATATACCATTCTGGCATAAGGATTATTTTTGGCTGAAAGCAACTGAGGAACAGCAGATAAAGGAAAATCTCCTAAAACAGAACACACATTTCCTCTAAGAGGAGGGCAATTCTTATTATCTAAGTTGATCTGAGTCTGTAAAACAAACCTTACTAAACAACTCTTATTTACCACATAACAAAATTGTGGGATACAGTTAAAATTATGCTTAGATAGAAACTTCACCTTAAATGCTCTTAACAGAAAAGAAGAAAGGCTGAAAGTAATCTAAATATCTATTAAGAAATTACAAAAAGAATGGCAAAATAAATCTAAAGAAAATACAAAAAGGGAAATTAGAGTATAAATTGATAAAACAAAGAAAATGTACAAAAAAAATCAAAATCAACACAACTGAATATTGGTTCTTTGAAAAGACTAAAGAGTATAGATCTCTCAAAGGACCAATAAGAAAACCAGAAAAATTTAAATTTAAAAAGGATTAAAAAAAACCATACTACAGATCTTAAAGGTATTAAATGGAAAATAGGACAAGTGTTAGGACCAATTTAAATTAATATAATTAAAAATTTAGATGAAACTAGGAAATTCCTAAGGAAAAATATAAGTTATTCAAAGAGAAACAAGAAATGAAAAATCTGAATACTCTTATATCTATTAAAGAAATTTAATTGGTAAAAAATGTTCCCAGAAAGAAATCTTCAGGCCCAAATGGCTACACCGGAGAATTCTTCTAAATATTTAAGAGAGCAATAATACATAGAAATTTCCAGAAAACAGAATATACTTGCCAATTTAATTAATGAGTCCTCCATAATCTTAATACTAAAACTCCAAAAAGCCATTATAAGAAAATTACCATCTAATCTCTCTCACAAATAAGGGAACACAAATTGAATCAAGCAATATAGAGGAAGGATACAACACAACTCAACCAAGTTTGGTTGTAGTTTATTTCTTTCATGCAAGAATAATATAACATTCGAGAAAAAAAGTAAACTTATATAAATAACAGACTTATTAACAGACAAAAGGAGAAAAACCCCACATGATC